AATGAAATGTATCTCTGATACATATTGATATATTTTCAAAAATAGTCTTGCTTTATTATATAAATTTATTTGATTTCTAATATCTTTGTTTTCTTTAAGACCTTAGCATCGACCTGAATTTGATCCGATCCAAACTCAAATCTTGAATCCATTAAAGAAATAATCTAATGATCCAATTAAACTTGAACCCGTTTTATTCGATTATTAACAACTCAAATCATTGAATCCATCAAAAAAATCCAATCCAATAATTCAATTAAACCCGAATCCATTTGACCCTATTATTAACGGGTTGGATTCAAAGATATCCGATTGGATCTAATTAGTTTTTTTTTTAATTTAAAAACAAAATTTTAATCTAATCAGGTTGCCTGCTAAAATACTTGTTATTTTTTAATGCATGAATTTTCTATCACTGGCCTCATCAAGCAATGAAATGGATTCTTTTTCGGCTACCTTAATCATTTTTTTATTCTTTCTCACCTTCTCTTTATACCCAGACCCACCTTACTCTACCATCTCAACATTCTTTTTCATTTTTTTCACTTGCTTTTTGGGATTTGAATTGGATCTGGATAAATTGGATTCGGATTCAGATTCAAATGCCCCTTATTGAATTTGTCATAATCCAATCAAGGTCGGATTAAAATTATTTTATAATCAGTGGATTCAAATTATGTCAAATCCAATTCACTAACAAACTTATACAGAAAAATCTAATAACCCCTTGTGTTGCCTTTTTTTTTATTAATAACTAACCCCTACTGATATATTTGTGTGACAAAGAAAATAAAATAAAATAAAGAAAGATGTTAAGCGTTATACAAGGATGCCTCTTTACTTTTTTTCCCCTAATTATATGTTGCAAATCCATGTCCAAGCTACAAAGTCTACATTTGTAAACCCTTCCCTCAGCAATAATCATTTTCTTTAAAAAAATAAAAATAAATTATATAAAATCTTGTCTATTCATATAAATTGTCTCTTTCTTTTTTTTTTCTGTTTGGTTTTTGTGTTTGTAGCAAAACTAGAAAAGAAAAAAATCAAGCCAACGATCTCACCAATTGGTCGAGAAAGTTGGCCCAGAAGCGGACTTTGGCTCTCTTGTATGGATCTTCTGGCAAAAGTTTAGGAGCATTAGTCCATATTTTATCTATGTACTCTAGCACTACAAGCGACTCGGCATTGGGTTTTTCACCATGAACAAGTACTGGGACTCTCTTATGAACATTACTATAGTTCTGGAGGAGAAATTGGGACTTGTTTGTCAAATCTTCTTCTATGTACTCCTAGGGTATGCCCTAAACTTTGAGGGCTATTTCCACCCTCTTCACATATGGGCTTCCCCACATTCCATGCCTTCTTCTATGTACTTCTAGGGTATGCCCTAAACTTTGAGGGCTATTTCCACCCTCTTCACATATGGGCTTCCCCACATTCCATGCCTTCTTCTATGTACTTCTAGGGTATGCCCTAAACTTTGAGGGCTATTTCCACCCTCTTCACATATGGGCTTCCCCACATTCCATGCCTTCTTCTATGTACTTCTAGGGTATGCCCTAAACTTTGAGGGCTATTTCCACCCTCTTCACATATGGGCTTCCCCACATTCCATGAAGCTTTACCTTACTTTCCTCTCCCATTTCTAACTCTCTCTCTCTCTCTCTCACACACTAACACACTCACTGTTTTCTTTTCAATCATGTATAGAGAGGGAGATTCAACCATTATTACACTTATCATGTCTTAGACCATATTCAAGCCGTTGTCTTTGAAGACTTGGAATATAGAATAATAGCATTTTGATTCCTGTAATAAAAAAGACAACAAAAAATTGAAAATTAAATAAAAAGATCAGAGAGAAAGTCAATATCAATGATACCCATTATGTCCTTTCTCTGAAGGCACCACCACATAGCATTTCTCTTTTTGCTTTCTTGATTAAACACTCACCAATTTGTTTCACCATTAGCTGATGATTTCCTACCTGTAGACACTTTTTTTTTTATAACCTTAATCATTGCTTCTAAAAGTAATAAGGTTTTTGTTTTGATTTCAGAAATAGGTAAATCAAAAAAAAAAAAAAAAAACTACATAATGAAATTAAAAAAAAAAAAATTTAAAAATTTGGATAAATTACAAATACATCCCCTGAGATTTGCTTAATATACGAATTGTCTCCTATGGTTTGAAAAATTACAAATACCTCCCAATCAGAATTTTTTATTAAACAGAATTAATTGAAAAAGTGAAATTTCTCTCACTTATACAATAATAAAATTATTTGAATTATTAGTTGAAATAAAATTTTAACATTATTAAAAACTGTTAATTAACTTGATGATTTATTAATATAATGATATATTTGTTATGAAATTTGAAACTTTAAGAGGCATAATGTAATTTCTAGAATCACAGAGGATAATTTATAATTTAAGTAAACCTTAAAGGGTATGTTTGTAATTTATCCAAAAAAAATTTGTAATAGAAGTGTGTTTATAATTTAAACAAAAAAAATTTTGTAATTTAAGTAAACTTTAAGGGGTGTGTTTGTAATTTATCCAAAAAAAAATTTGTAATAGAAGTGGGTTTATAATTTAAACAAAAAAATTAATGTCAAGAATGGGATTCGAACCCATGCCCTTTCGGACCAGTACCTGAAACTGGCGCCTTAGACCAACTCGGCCATCTTGACTTACAGTGCCAATGTTTCTCACTTTTATATATTGATCCTATTTTTAAATCATAAATTTCAATAACAATTTGAAAAGAAAAATTAAAATTAAAAATTATATTTGATTCGTATTTCTTTTACATTTTCTCCTTTATTTTTAAATTTATATTCCAAATATAACCTTATGAAATAAATAAATAAAAAATGAGAGTTATCAAATGCAAGAAAGTCCACGAGTGAAAATTGGGAGCTTACACACCATAGGCCCCTCACTCTCTTTCCCTTCCACTAATACGTATAGAGAATGAGGTCAATAGTGACCTAACCTTGCTTGGTGTCACTAAATGAGATTACATGGCTATATCTCTCGATCACATAGTCACTATTATCACAATATAAAATTTCTCAATAATATTGTTACGTGATATCACCATTATACCAAATATTTATTCTATTAATACGTTGCATTCATTTTCCCATGCTATTCAAAATCGTTCTTTACAATTTATTTTTTTCTAATTGTTCCCATATGAACTGATATGAATTCTCTCATCCATTAATTTTTAATTAGCTCGCGATTAAAACATTTTAACAAGTTAATTCAAATATGAACAACCTCAATATAAACTTCTCCACATACAAACTTAACAACGGTCATGAACTTTAGAGACCCCATTGAGACAGTCACTTGTTGCAGCAATTATAAGTGCCAACAATCTAAACTCAAAGCCATTAAGAATAGTGCCTTCCCTTCTATTTGAAAATCATTCTTTTCTGCCTTACTTATCTTTCAAATATTTTTAACCTACAACCAGAATATTTACCTTACCTCCCGTTGAAATGAGAGAGTTGAATAAAAATGTAATTGACGATTGTCGAGTAAGATATTTATCTCCCGGTTCAGCTATCCATCCTATTATGATAGGGGGAGGCTTTCATTGCTTAATTTGAAGAGGATTCTAGATCGTCTGCCGTGGTTTCCTACGGTGGCCCCTGCAGTGGTCCAAAACGACGTCATTTTGGACTTCTTTTTTCTTTTTTCTATTTCTTTTGCTTTTGAGCCTCTTTTTCTTTTATCTTAGCTCTCAAATCAAAGAGACGAAGATGGACGACGATGGCGATGATGGCGCAGCGACAACGACAACGGCTATCCCCACCCTCGGCCGCTCTTTCCCAACCCCTCCCAGTGCCATCGCCGCCGAGGTGCCACCACCATCCACACCCTTTTGTGTCTAGGCAACTCTATTACACATCCTCCTTGCAAAGAAGAGGTAGCATCAAATTTCTTCCCCAGATCTGGACAGTTCTATGATGCTAATAGATTCTACGAAGAACACCATCCCCATATCTTGGAGGCTTGTTTTCTTTGCAAGAAAGACCCTTCATGGGAAAGTTGAATTTTTTGAAAAAATTTTGTTTAATCACGGAAAATTCTATATATGCTTGGGGAAAGACCAATTCTTTTTGCTCTACAAAATATGGGCTTACTAATTGGAGATGGGTTTAGGATAGAATCGAAAAAGAATGAGATTTTGCTGTTTTATTTTCTGTTCACTGTGTTTAAGGGAAGAAGAGAGGCCAATTTGAGGGAAGCACAAGAGAGAGAAGAGAAGACCCATTTTGAGGATTTTTGTTTTTTTTAATTTTTTATTTTCATAATGCTTATATGAGGCTTTGTTTTTGTGGGGTGAAGAGAGGCCGGAGGTTGTGGTCAGCTTCCATGTCTGCAAGAGAGCCAAGATTCCATGTCTGCAAGAGAGCCAAGAGCAACGTCTTCTTCAATGAAACAAGGACTTCTTGTGGCTGTAGAGTCCATGAATGTGTTCTAATTGATGTGGGTTTTGCTTAGAGAGAGAGAGATGATGACTGAAACAAGGCCTTCTTGTGGCTGCTTTATTTCTTCTTCCTCCTCTCTGATTCGAATCTACTTTTTTTTTTCTTTTTTTTTTTGAAATTTTGCCCCAAAACAACAGGGCACTGCAGGAAGTGTTGTCGAAAAGGACGGCAGAAGATCCAGAAAGGGGCTGACTTTTGATAAATGAGTTAAAATAGTGAAAAACTTGCCATTGCCTATTTAGGCCAAGTTTGGCATGAGACAAAAAAGACAAAAAGTCAAAAAGTCACTATCCTATTTAAGTCACATCATCTTATTTAAATCACATCACCTCTCTAACACATCACTTCAAATCCAACCCAAACCCATATTTCATAAAAAGTCAAAAAGTGTACTTATTTAGTCTTCCCAAACTAGGCCTTAAAATCCTTGAGTACCAACACAAGTCAAAAAGGAAAATTGTTTTGACTATCACTTGACTAGGTTTGAAAGTTTTTTTTTTTTTATTTGACTAAATATATGTCACCACAGCTCTCTTGTACTGCTCATACAAAGAAAGCTAACTTTAATATTGAGTGCCTGCAATGGGCACATTTACCAGTCACTATAACGTACAAAACTTTTGGCAGCTAATTATTTTGCTCTTTAAATGCTTTTAGTGACAATGATAAATTGGTCACTAAAAGCATCGCTAAAGTACCTCTTGCAAAGTCCAAAATTAACTTTTAGGGACGATTTTTCAAAAGTGTCACTGAAAATGACAATTAACGATTAAATTTATATGGCCATAAAATGATTGATTTTAAAGAACTAAAAAATTTTCTCAAAATGTCCCAATTAATTCACAAAAAGGAAAATAATGGCATTTTTAGCCACAATTATATTTGATCGCTAAAAGACAAATGACTCTCTACCACACATTTTCGTCATTAAAAATCAAAGTTGGGAATTTTGTAACCATTTAATTTCATAACTAAAAATGCACAAAAATTAAATGTCATGCAATCATATAAAAAAAAAAATTTGGCATCCACTCATCAGAGCACTCCTCCCAAACCATGAGTATATAGAAAGTAAAATCTACAAAAATCAAAACTCAGTTTTCAAATTCAAATCGAAGTAGTTCTTATTCTCAAATTTCAAATGAAGAATAGCAACGGTTTCTTTAAAAGAGAATCTCTCAAAATGTATCTTTATCAACTCCTTTGTATTCTTTCTGCTTCACATCCCTTTCAACTATCTTTGGCTTATTAGATGATGCCATACCTTAATAACAATAAATTGCAAATGTTAAAGGAATTATATTATAGAATAACTAGGAATTCGATTAAAGATGAACAAAACTGAAAGAATTGAGCTAGCACAAAAATGAAAGAAACACATCAGACCTGGGTAATTTCCATCCTAAGTGCCATTTTTTCTCCCTAAAAGTCTATAAATTTCCATCCTCAGATCTAGTTAAATCCATGAGATATGGTTCTATAAATTGATTTCCAGGTATCAGATGCGTCATCATTCATTTGCTATTAGGCCAATCCAAACTAGAAGTAGGTAAACATAAAATTAGAGTGCAAAAACAAAACTTTCCAGTATCATGAGTACTAAAATCAGTGTATACTCCCACAATGCATCATTATCAGCATGCATTCCAAGGATTAACAATCCCTATATTCTGGATTTGAATATGGTTATGTTCATGCTGATAAACACAACTCAAACTCACCCAAATAGAACATTTTCACTTTTCTATCAACTATTTTACTTCAAAAGCACTCACGATGGTTTTCAGTATTCTAAGATTGTTTAAGAAGTTTCTGGTGCTACTTTTTTAATCCAAATGAGTTGCTAAGCTAATGAGGGACCTTTCAAACTCCAGCACCATAAAGGAGAAGCAGGATCAGGACTCTAACATAAAATAGATATCAAGAATATTTGGAGAGAGTATTTGGGAAATAGTTATTTATTTGATGGGTAATTAAAATAAATTTTTTAAAAAAAAATTATTTCTTGAATTTAACCCAAATCACATACCCAATCAATCATTCAACTCCATAACCCTTCCAAGAACCTATCACACTTCCATCTTAAAAAGTCATCCTCAATCTAACTAGCAATTCTAAAGCAAAACTGAAATTAAAAAAATCTATTAAAAACTCAATACTACTTGAAGGATCGAGAATACCTTGATAGAGAGTGAATCAACCAGCCAATATCTTCAAAGTTGCACTGTCCCATTTTATAGTGGCCAAACTCTGCAGATAAATGGCATGTTATCAATTTCCAGATAATTCAAGAATATCCCACATTAACACTGCAAAATTATCATATCACACCTAATATATAATAGTGTAAATTACCAAATGCTCAATGTAATAAATAAAAAAAATCCCAATAAACCTTAAACATTTATTCAGTCAGTCATGGTGCAACAACATATAACATTTATTCAGTCAGTCATGCTAAAATAACATTTGTCCCTGAAATTTTGTCCCTAAATTCTAGATTTCTTGTCATGAAGCAAACCAAGAGAGGGGAGGGAAAGACAGAATTTTGCAGCAGCAGGGGCTGTTTTGGGAGGGTTTTTAACCTTCGTTTTGTTCCTCAAACATCAAACAAAAAAGAGAAATCAATAGTCTATATTCACTGGGGCCTGACCCACATCTCACTAGCTTTAAATCTATACCACTCACGTTCAAGTTAAGATTCAAAATAAATTTTCATGGTTAATAGCATTTTTGTTCATTACCTTGGCCATCTACAAACGCCAGTAATTATTGTATATGCAGATATACAAAGCACAATGGATGTGTTTGGATGTCAAGATTCACGATTTGACAACTACGAAATATAGATTATAAACACACGCAAACAAACAAAGATATTAAGAAAATGTTCAAGTAAAGGAATGGCAAAATTTCATAAATATATAAATCAGAAGAGATAAAAGTAGAGAAATTGAACCTTCTGAGAAATCTGAGATCGCTTGTGAACCTTGCGAGCCTCTTTCTTGTGTTTGCACTTGAAGTGATCATGGCGATAGCCATGTCTCTTCCTGTGAAGCTCTATTTAATCTCCTTGAGGCTTAACAAATCATTTATCAAACAAAAACAACAATCAAATCAGTACGTATTCAATTAAGATCAATATCAACAATATACAACTACCAAACACCAAAAAAAAAAAAAACAAACAAACAAATTTTTAAGCTGATAAGGGCCAGAAATGAGAAACAGTAAAGCAGCAAAAACTAGTAGTGGTCCACTTAACCAAATCACCATAAATAACACTAACCACGCATTAAGTTTTCTAAGATCGATCTTCTTCAATAATCACTGTACATCTCATAGGGATTGCTTCAATCGGTTCAATTCAGATAACATTTGTAAGGAAACTCTTTAATCTAAGGCAATTAATAAAATAGTATCTATCACACAGATACAGGAAAAATTCAACAAACTCTATCAATTGGCTACCAAATATGGTCTCAAAAAATTGGACGAAATCAAGTATTGCAATGGACTTTTTGGTACCATATGGAATTACACATCTTCACGAAATTAAGTAATGCTTTCTAGTTGTAGAAGGAAAAAATGGTCTTGACAGTAAGCCTAGAAACAGAATCAACTAAATAAATAATAAATAAATAAATAAGCCTTTGAAAAAATAGGAAACCATTTGTTGCATGTGCACAAGCCACCAAATGTGTTTTGTGTTAACTTTAAAAGAATTAGAAAACACAAGTACTACCGCTCAACTCCTGTCCGTTTTACAGGAACAAGATCAAAACTCGCAAGAAATCACAAACAACCTCAAAACTGATAATGATTAATACCTGAGCATCAGTGACCTTGAACACACGCTTCAAGGAAAGTTGATGCTTCTCCAAACACGAGTTGAAACATAAATTAGCTTCTGAAATGCCTGCACTGGAGACACTAACAATGGTCAAGCTCCAAAACTCCATTCAAAATCCTAAAGGAGCCTACCAGATAAAATATCATAGAAAGAAGAAACAAAACCACAAGCAACCCACCCGGCATTGCTCTATGTCACCATCACGGTTGCCAGTTTCAAGCCTTTGCATGAAAATTCGCCTACCAATCTAAAGAGCCAACAAGTGAAACACCGTTTGAGAAAAATAAAACAAAGCTTTATTTTCAAATAAATCTGTTATCGTTCAAACTCTTTGATATAGACACGCACAACTAATATATAAGTTAACTGATATATAACAATACCTCCATATTCAAAATTTCAAAGAGAGAGGAATCAATATTTCAATAACAAAGCACAGTCAATGAAAATGAAAATCATCAAAATTCCATATCAATGATGCAGACTCTGTTCAATGAAATATACTCACCTCAATCATAGGATTGAAGCTAAAATAACCCCATATAACAGCGAAAAAAGTTTATTATCAACAGATTATATAATAAATAAAGTCATCACTGAAATTAACAAATCTTCATCTGGAAACATACATATTCAACACCAAAACTATATCTAAAATAATTTAAATGCACAAAATCGAAACCTCAATTTTTGAAATGAACAGATTTCAAGATAATTTGAACTTCTTCCTGGGTGAAATTTTATTCAACTTAATACTATCAAAAATTGCTAGAAAAAACCTAAAATCACTCAAATGGAGAGAGAGAGAGAGAGAGATAAGGAAACCCTAGGTTTTGATACAAGATGATAATGAGAGATCCGTCCATGACAATGTGTAGGCCAATCGAACAAAAACATGAACTACTTATTGTGTTCTTCATAGATCTACAATATATATATATATATATATGTATGTATAGGTAGAAAGATAGAAGAGAGAGACTCACCAAATCTGCAAAAAATTTGAAGAAGAAGAAGATAGATCTACTGTGGATTGAAACTTGTAGATCTCAAATCTGAGTTGGAATGAAGATCTGCGATAGAGAGAGGGAAGATCTGCAATGGAGCTCGAGATAGAGAGAGAAGTTTCTTTGATGATGAGAGAGCATTCCATTGAGCATCGTATTTGCGAAAGTGAAAAAAAAAAAAAAATGTGTATTTGCATCTAGGGGAGATTTGTAATTTCCCATTATTGGGTCCGTAAATGCCAATAATGTATTCTCAACCAAATTTATTGGTCTAAAAAAGTGACGTAAATATTGCCCAAGTGCAAAAGCGAGAATATCAATAGTCATTTTTGAAATCTTATAAGTAAATTATCATAAGTTTAAATTTGTCCCTAAAACATTATTTTTAGGGACCAAATTCAACTAGTCTCTAAAACACTAATTTCTTGTAGTGAGTAAGCTACAGCAATGAAAAACCCCTTTACCATATCTTCAAGTTGTAGCAACAGTTTGAAATAGGGACAAATTTAGCAATGGTTTCTTAACAGCTGATTAAAATTAGGCTGTTATTCTCACTTTTTCCTGCTTATGTAGCCTTTTCCTACATGCTTATTAAAACAAGCACTTCATTTTAAACCCTCCAAAAGTTTGAAATAGGGACAAATTTGCATTTCCATAATAACAGTAAAACTCATGAAACCATAATTAGATGGTACATTATACAAACTTGTCACAGTACAAAAACAGACAAAAGGATCCAATAGCATCGTCATAACACCATAATCTCTACCTATGTACATCCAAAATCTTATCATAGTATAAAAGTATTATACAACAACCTCCATGAGAAAAAAAAGAAGATCAAATTGAGGAACTGAAGACCGTAAGAAGATGCTACGGATACGGATACGGGATACGGGTACGATACGATACGATACGGATACGGATACGGCGATACGACAAAATTCGAAAAAGTAGGATACGGATACGGCAGGGATACGTTCATAAAAAATATTTTTTTCACAATTTTTAGTAATGTAGCATACACAAAAATAAAACTTCAACAATTTTTAGTAATGCAACATACATAAAATAAAACTTCAACAATTTTTAGTAATGTAGCATACATAAACTTCCCGTACCCGAACTCATTTCCTAAAATTTATGGTAAACAAATAAAACAAAACATTAATGTAACATCACCCATAACAACCATAATGCATCACCCATAACAAAAAATTCATCAATTCAATTAAATTTGAACAATTTCAACAATATAGCATCACCCATAACATAACAGTTGACAAAGTTTATTTTTAATAAGTTTATTTATTTATTTATTAATAAGTTTTTTTTACCTTATTTGATTTATTAATAAGTTTACAAAGTTTATAATTTTATAAGTTTACAAAGTTTATTTTTAATAAGTTTATTTATTTGTTTGTTTTATCAAGATTCAAGTAATAGTACATACAAAAAAAATTAATAAGTTTATTTATTTATTTATTTATTTAATCAGGATTCAAGTAATAGTAATAAGTTTATTTATTTATTTATTTAATCAGGATTCAAGTAATAGTAATAAGTTTATTTATTTATTTATTTAATCAGGATTCAAGTAATAGTAATAAGTTTATTTATTTATTTATTTAATCAGGATTCAAGTATAATAAGTTTATTTATTTATTTATTTATTTAATCAGGATTCAAGTAATAGTAATAAGTTTATTTATTTATTTATTTGATTTATTTTTTTTTATTTATAGAGTACACATACAAAAAATTAAAATAAAATAAAATAAAAATAAATATGCAAACAAAGACGAGACGACATAGATAAGGGAGAGGGAGAGAGAGATCGACCAAGAGGGGGGGGAGATGCGATCAAAATCTGTCCATCTCCAACCAGACACAGACAGATCGAGCGAGAGGGAGAGAGAGAGAGAGAGAGTTCATGAGATCGAGTGAGACGCAGATAGAGGGAGCGAAAGGGAGAGAGAGAGGGACGAACCTAATGGAAAACCGTGGAGCTCCTGTTCGCGAACCTGATCGACGACCGTCGAGCTGCTGTTCGAGATCGAGTGAGAGGCAGACCGTGGAACTCCTCCTCCTCCTCCTTCGCAGCTGTTGTTCGAGTTCGACCTAGGTCAAGGTAAGTTTGATTTTTTTTTTTTTTTTTTCCCCATTTTAAGTTTTTTAAATTATTTTTTTGCCCCGCCGTATCCATACCGTATCTCGACCATATCCTCGCATATCCTAGACATATCCGAAATTCAAAAATTTAAAAAAAAAAATTGGACACTTCATTTCCCGTATTTGATACGTATCCCGCCGTATCGGGCGCGTATCCGTATCCGATACGTATCCGATACGCGTACGGAAGCCACTTCGGAGTATCCGTGCTTCATAGGATGCTTCTATATTGGCTTAATACCTGCAACATTAATGAAAATGAAACCTATAAAGGATTTTAATTTTCATAATGCTTCTATATTGGCTTAATACCTGCAACATTAATGAAAATGAAACCTATAAAGGATTTTAATTTTCATAATACATAAATGAAGGTTTACTTAATCATATGCAATTCCAAGAGATGCCATTGTCCATTAAGATATTGAATTTTCTGCAATCATGGTCTCATAATATAGCCATGCAAACAGAAATATGTAAAACTTATTCTTTAATCAGAAGGCAATCAAGCAATATCATGTTGACAGGGGCATGAAATTAAGAAAGAAACAAATCTGGAAACAATGTAGTTCATGATAGATCTCAAGCATATTACACAACCAAAATTAAAACAAAGGCAAAAAGTAAATTTAATAGTTTATTATAATTAACGTAACGCTTTTCTTTTTCACCAATTTCTTTTTTTGAAAAACAGATATATCTTATGCCAAACCAGTTTGGTAATCAATACCGGGGTGTAGAAGTTAATCCAGAGAAGAATTTAGCTCAAAGTATGAGTCACAGAAGTATTTAAATTTGAGGCCATGCTACCAACAATCTATCAGACCCTCAGGTTGCATCAATAGATAAAGAACGAGAACAGTTCTCAACTCATGTTCAAAACTGCTTCAAATTTGGGTGAATTGATTCAATACGCAACTGAGATCACTAATTTCTCAATTTTTATTCCTCTTCAAAGAAATTAAGATAAAATCTATTGTATAATAAATAGTTTCAAATAATACACTGTTTATTTTTAATGTCGCCTATGTAAACTGTTGACAAAATGATAATTTTTTCACACTTCAAACTTTTAACTATACTTTTTATTCTTGTATAAATGCCTAAATGAATGATTTAATAATAACTGAACTAACATTTACACCTTAAATATGGTATCTGAAAGTCATTGACATGCTACAGTATTTGTGTTTGCTCGGGTGGTTGGTGTTGGCAGTGTAGTTGGAACTTGGAGTTGTTGTCAATGTCCATCTCTACAGTGTTCTCCACTGCTGTGGCTCCCTTGGGAACTTAGAAGAGGCACAGAATAATCAAACCTTTCCTAAAGGAAAATTACTAAAGATAATATAGCAAATAAGATTGATAAAGTAATAAAATAAACTCAGAAATTACAAGAAAATTACAATTCAAGCAGGGAGATCAATAGCAAATGATCACTGCATCAGATTGCTTTTAAGCACATGAGCCAGGTGAGATGGAAAATTAGCAACGGAAAATACACTCGTGTTGAAATAAATGACTTGAATAAGCCTGCATAGCTTTCCAACATAAATGAGGTTGAATTTCGCTACATGAACATACCTATTTGTATGCAGCTCAACAACAGCAACCATTCTGTGGTTGAAGTCTCCCATTTGGGCTTAGCCCTGAAACAGCCAAGAGAAAATATTACCTTCATGGAGAATGATATCAATATAGAATAAAAATGCATTAAGAAGTAAAAGTATTAAATATGGGGTGGCCTGTGCAGGACTACCTTCTGTTCTGCTTTGATGCTGATTAGATGCAGTGAGTAGTGTCTCATTAGATGTCACTAGAGCTCAATAGCCAACAGCTTCATAATTGATGCACATTAAAATCTTCAGATTCATGCATTAAGAAGTAAAAGCATTAAATATGGGGCGGCCCGGGCAGGACTACGTTCCATTCTGCTGTGATGTTGATTAGATGCAATGAGAAGTGTCTCATTAGATGCCACTAGAGCTCAATAGCCAACAGCTCCATACTTGATGCACCTTAAAATCTTCAGATTTGATGCACTTATTGTGATCATTCTCTCCTTGCACGTGAAAATTCATATCTAATTATTAGCATAAGAAGACCTCTTCCTAGGATCATTAGCATAGCTTCTTGGAAGCTTTTTCTTTATTAATTTCTTGTCTCTGATGCCATCATATAGAAGTTCATATGCATAATATATTATATGACTCTTCTTCAACAAATCTTCCACAACAATCTTTGGTGCTGCTACCTCCTTTTTATCAGCCTCAAAAATAGTGTTCACAATATCTGGTACAATACCCTTGCGCACCATAAGGTGTACTATACCAACCGCCTCACGTACTTTATGCTTCAGACACAGGGAATTTATTACACGTCCAAAGGTTGTCAAAGCTGGAATGAACCCCTTCTCAATCTTATCAAGAAGAAATTTGTACCCAGAATCAACATTATCAGTTTTGCAAAAGCCATCAATCATGACACGGTAAGTGTAATTATCAGGGGGGCAGCCATTGTCAATCATCTCATGAAATAGCTTTTGTGACATATCCATTTGTAGCTTCTCGGAAAATGCATGTATCATAATATTGTATGTTGCTGTTGTATGCATAAATTTATATTGTTGTTCCATTCTTCTAAACAGCTCGTAGGCTCCAACCACATCCCTATTCTCATAAAACCCACTGATCAGTGTGCCAAAACTAACAACATCTGGGGACATACCCTTGTTTTCCATTTCCTCAAGCAAGCTCAAAGCTTCTACTAATTTTCGAGCTTTGCAAAGGCTTTCTATAAGGATGTTATAGGTGATAATGTTAGGAACACACCCCTTCTCCAACATTGCTGTGAAAGCTTCCATAACGTCATCAGATTTTGCAGTTTTGCAGAGGCCATTCAACACAGAGTTATAAGTAATCACATCGGGGATAACACCATTGTCCCACATGCCATTGAGCATCTCAATTGCATTGTCCATCTTTAACTGTTTACAGCAACCATCAATCAGTGTGTTGAAGGTAAAAATGTCAGGAAGGAACCCTTTGGCCATAGCATCATTCATGAGATTATGGGCATCTAATACGCAACCCATCTTGCACAACCCATTTATAACTAAATTGTAAGTCCATATATCAGGATTGCAACCATTTTCTGGCATCTCATTCATCAGCTCAAAGGCTTGTAAGATTAGTCCCCCTTGTGACAACCCTTTAATTAATGTATTGTAGATTATAATATTAGGCTTCAACCCTTTCCTCAATGCTTCATTAAACACACTCATTGCCCTGTCTATGTCACCATCCTGGCATAAACCATTAATTAAGGAGCAGTATGTAAATTTATCGGGCAGAAACCCCTTGAAAACTGCATCATTAAGAATCCTATATGCATTTTGTATCATACCCAGTTTGCAATATCCATCAATTATGATGTTGTAAGTGAAAGCATCAGGCTCAAACCCTTCATTCACCATTCTTTGCAAACAGTTCTCAGCTTCTGCAACCCTAAAGTTTTTGGACAAGCCACATATAAGTGTGTTATAAGTAACAACATCAGGACTTAAACCTTCTCTCGTCAAACTATCCACCATGCTAGAAGCCTCCTTGAGAAGGCCTTTTCTGCAAAGGCCTTGAATGAAAATATTGAAAGTAAACAAATTAGGGGACACCCCCCTTTTCAGAACCTTGTTCAGGAGTTTTTCACTTTCTTGAACATCTCCCTTCTTGCTAAGTGTGTGCATAAGCTTATTGAATGTGGTAATACTAGGACAAATTCCATTCCTAAGCATTTCATCAAACAATTCGTATGCCTCAACTCGGAAATTCTCTTCATAAAATCCACTTGCTACTGTGCAGTATGCAACTGCATTGAGTTCACACCCATGGGAAGGGATGTTTTTTAGGAGCCTCAAGGCAGTATGTGGCCTACGCGTCCTGCAAAAGGATTTTATCCTAATTGTAAATGTGTACACGTCAGGAACAACCTTCTTATCTCTCATTCTCATATACACTTTGTGGGCTTGATTAAAATACCCATATTCAACCAAGATATTCATGATTGCATTATACGATTGAACAGACGGATCGCAATTGTAAAAATCCATTCTCTCAAACACATCAACTGCTTCTTGAACGTTCCCCTTTCTACCGTAACTCCTCATTGCTCCAATATACACTCCTTCCAACAAACTATTCTCTACATTCATTCTCAATTCCGCAAGGAAACGTTCCATTGCCTCGAATTCCCCATGAAAACCAAGCTTCTCAATCATGCATTTATAAGTTAATAAATTGTGCCTAAACCCTTCTTCATTTCTCACTGAATTGAACATTTCTAGTGCCCTCAGTGGGTTTTTCTGATATTTTACCACGGCGGCTACATGTTTAGGAAGTAAAGTAGAACTCATCCCAAAACTACAATTTAATCAACAGTACAGCTAAAACCCATCAATCCAGTAGAACTAATAGATCTTTTGCAACCCTCTTTTCACTATTTATCTTACAACAAACTCAAATGCTAGAGCCAGAAAAAGAGAACCCAGCAGAGAAAACTAATCAATTACAGCTTATATAGCTTCAATTCAATGATAAAATGCCCAAATCAAAACAAAACAAGCATTCAATGGTAAATCTTGTGAAAGCATAAATCTGAACTGACTTACAATTTGCAACATCTTCTTCAACACCGCTGGTAGTGAGCAAAACAATTTGCAAAGGTGACAATATGAACTCAGCGTCTACTTCTCCATCTCTGTCATCAGATCCGACACCATTATCAGATTTCCAGTGTTTTGGAAGCAAAACTAAGGTTTTTTGGGGGTAAAAATAAAAATTAGGGCTTATGCTTGTGTTATCTCAAGTTCAGTTCTGAAACTAGTAAATTTGCTGTGCCATGAACCGTTGAAGGGTTGATCTTGTATCTCTCTCTCTCTCTCTCTCTATCTCTATATCTATCTTTCTATCCATCTATTTTAAAGTCAACACCTCTTATCCTGTAGTGAAGTTTTACTCTACTCATGTTATATGGCAGTATTTTTTATTTTTTAAAAAAAATTAAACAAAGAGCATACCACTTAAGTTAAGTACACATTATAATATTAATTTTATTATTATTTTTTTTTATTCCTACTTATTTAAATTGTACACACATCGTATATGTCACCCACTAATATATATATATATATATATATATGTGTGTGTTTTTAAGTTGAGTGCTGATACGCATCTAATTTTTTTTTTATCTCTTATTTTTTTAATTCTTATCAATTTTTGTATCTCTTATTTTTTTTAATTCTTATCAATTTTAGCTTTTATTTGGGAAGATGGGTTGGATTAGGTTGGATTGGATTTGAGATTATTTTAGTTACAAAAAAAATAAAATAAATTTGTTAGCTCAATAATACAAAATATCACATCTAACCTATAATTATTACATATTTTTTCTTACAAAAATCAAAAAATCAAAAAATTCTTCCCAAATGAGATTTTTTAATCCCAGACTAAAATAGTCAAAAAGCTAAAAAGCCAATACACTTCCCAAACGAACCCTATAGATAAATATACAAGGTTTGAAACTTTAATATTAAAATTAAAATAAAAAAAAAATTTACCATTTGAGCAATACTCATATTATGATATTAACATCGTATATGTCACCCACTCTCTCTATATATATATATATATATATGTGTGTGTTTTTAAGTTGAGTGCTGATACGCATCTAATTTTTTTTTTATCTCTTATTTTTTTAATTCTTATCAATTTTTGAATCTCTTATTTTTTTTAATTCTTATCAATTTTAGCTTTTATTTGGGAAGATGGGTTGGGTTAGCTTGGGTTGGATTTGAAATTATTTTAGTTACAAAAAAAATAAAATAAATTTTTTAGCTCAATAATACAAAATATCATATCTAACCTATAATTATTACATATTTTTTCTTACAAAAATCAAAAAATCAAAAAATTCTTCCCAAATGAGATTTTTTAATCCCAGATTAAAATAGTCAAAAAGTCAACCCACTTAATAATATTTTTTTTAAGACTCTACTTAATATTAATTTTATCCATATTCATAATATTATCACACTCAAGTACAAATTCACCTAATTTTGCATATCATCTTTTTTTCTTCTCTCAATAAATAATAAACAATTGAAAGACAGTGAAGAATAACAAACAATTGCGAGACGAATCAACTGTCTCTCTTTTATCATTCTCTCATAAACAATGGTATCTTTTTCCTTGTCACCACGAACGACGTATCTCCATCAGAAATCTCATTGACAACCTATTTCATCTTTATCCTTTAACACCCCCATCATATCTTATTTTTTGTGTGTTTATTTTTGGGTAAAACCCTTGATACAAGGGGTTTTAGAAGGAAAAACATAAATAGAGAAAAAAAATCCAATAAAATGGAATCGTTCAGTATTCAAATGCCGAACAAAATGTTTATGTTTAGCATTATATTTCTGAATTATATGTTTTCATTCAGCACTACATTACTGAACAGAACCTTAACAATCGACAAACTAGTACGAACTAAAAATGACCCAAAATCGTAAATGTAAGATAGATGAACTTATCAATGCAATGCCAACCTCATCAAAATTGTTGTCATTGTCTTCCATTACTCTATAGGTATCAACGAAAGGTGAAAACGACCATAAATGAAGAAACTCGGAGTTTATAATATGATTGTTTGCAACGTTAACTGATTTGAAACACTGAACACATTTGAAACTACTGAACAAAACAAACTAATTAGGTTGTTTTCAAATATTTTTTATTGAAGATGAATACGTGGGTTTAGGATAGTGATGAAGAATAATAGGGCTAGGGTTTTGGTTAGTAAGAAATATGTAGAGATAGGAATGAAGGTGGGTGTACAATATTGTAAAGTATCATTCAAATTGTTTTCATCTGATGGGTAGGTGTTCCATTAAAAGTTATCATTTAATGTAATTTACTTCAAGGTATAATTGTAATAAAATAAAATAAGTAAGAGTTGGGAGTCCAAATAAATTAGATAGGTGCTAATAATAGCACTCTTTTAAGGGAAATTCTATTTCCACACATCTAATTAGCTCAAGGCACACCCTTAATGAAATATTAATTTAATGACAATTATATCCTAAATAAAAATGACTATAATAAACATCTAGCAATACCCATAATATTATATTAAAAAAAATTGTACACATCTTTTAAGAATAAGTAGCTCTTAATGTACATATTTTGAATTTAAAAAAAAATTAAATCCTAATTTTTCCATTGCTTTTCATTAAAACTGCTCTGATCATCAATCTCAATAAAGGCAGAACGATGGTGGTCAAAACAAATAAAGCACATTAATCTCTTCCCACTGCAAATTTTGTTTCTGTAAATAGTCCTCAAAACACAGCAGAACATAAGGGCCACCATTTGGTGCCCATATATCAGAGCATTTTCAAACTTTAAAGGCAACCTTGTGAACCGTAGTTTCCTTGTGGATTTGGTGACATCTTTTCTCAAAATGTTATTCTTATTGGAGATTAATTTATTTCTATTAACATTTAGAAGAAGTATTTATTTATTTTAGTTGTGTGCAAGGAAGAAGTATACTATTTTGCAGGATTTATAATGGTCTTCAATGGAGGTTCAATGGAAGTCTTTTATGCAAGTTTTCAATGAAGGAAATTTCATTTTGGACCACAGTCTTCTTCAAGGGTATGGGTGGGTCAACGTGGAAGTAGGGTTAATCAAAAGTGTATGGAAAGAGGATTAGGGGTGTGTCTACAACGGTTATAAGTGAAGGGTGTAATTATAATTTTGAATGTGTGGATTGAAAAAATTAATTGATAATCAAATTAATAGGTGTGTGTGTTGAGAAAGGATGTGCCTTGAGCTAATTAGGTGTGTGGAAATAGAATTTCCCCTCTTTTAAGATTTTGTTTTCGCGAACTAGTTGGTAAATTACACTTTGCCCCTTTGTTTTTTATTTTATTTCATTGATCTTTGAATATATATATATTTATATACATATATTACTTTGTCCTTTCATTTTTCAAACTTTTTTAAATTTATTCCTAAAGTAAAATATTTTATTTTATATAACTTACACTTCTGACACCAATTTAAACTCCAATATAATGATAGATTTTATAAAGTCATATGATAGTTAATGTGATACTTTTTAATCTATTCTTGAATAAATTTAACTTTAAAAGTAAATATTTTTTTTTTAATTAAAAAAAAAACTTCAAATATGAAGAATCATTAAAATTTTCTTAAAAAAAATAGTAGTTAAATAAAAAGGGAAAAAGTGTAATTTACTCTTACAAGTTACGATATTGACAATAGTCCAAACTTTCTGGGCTTGGGAAACCATTTGAAGCCGAAGTGTATTTGGATGGTTCGATCAAGTTGGACCAACCCGATCCATTTGTAATCCAAGGAGTTGGGTTGGGGCCTATTCATGATTTTAGGGTTGAGAAAAAAAAATTGAAAAAATCTTATATTGGTTCGATCTAGATCAATTCGTATAATTTGATTTGATCTTCTTAACGTATGGTTTGATTTTAGTTCTTAAAATAAACAAATCGTTGTGATTTTATAATTATGAAATCAAGTCGGACCATTTAGATATAAGTATATATATAATTTACTACTTACAGCAAAAACTCAAGTACCTAATTAGTATCATATTTTTATACTTAAATTGTCAATCCTTTACTCTTGCAAATTTGTTCTTTTATAGTAATAGAATTGAAACTAAGGGGAATTTTATATTATAAATATCATAACTTAATTCTATTAATGTTATAAATTAAAGAAAAAAAAAACGAGTTAGGACACTTCCACCTAATATGTCAAATCTAATATGACAGCCCAATAGCTCTACTTTGTCATACCAAAAATGAATTCTATTCAGTGCACCAAAAGTTGACATAACTTTTGGCATCCCTTTTATGTCAATTTTGACATGAAGACCACTTCATATCTTTTTTTTCTTTGTTTCTTTTTTTCCCTTCAAATAGAAGAAGACAAAAGATACACAAAAAGAGTTCAAATTTTAAAAATAATAAAATAATATATTTAACATATAGAGCTTCCATGCCAAATTGATATATGCCAATTTACCATCCAATCCTTCAAAAAAATTTGATATACCAAATTTTAAAGATTTGGGTGGAGGCGCTCTTAGGCCTCGTTTGGGAACCATCCTTTTTAGCTAAAAGTCAAAAAATTATTAAATTAGTCAAAAAGTCAATAATTCATACCAAAAAGTCAAAGATTCTCTTTTCTCTCTATTTTTTGCATATCTTTTCGTAAAAAGCTAAAAAGTCATCCCAAACATACTAGTTTTTTTAGCTCATGTTTTAGCCAAATAGTCAAAAAGTTACTAAATTAGCCTGCTCCCATAATCAAACACTAAACAAGATATAACCAAAAAAACTCTTGAATCATAATTAAAATAATATTATAATTAACATTACAATATGTCATGGCTAATATCACCCTAGCTCATAATCAAATACTATAAGGGTTATAACTAATGATGCATATAAAGGACGGTGCACCATAGCATTACCTTAAAACTAAACAATAATTTATAAAATAATGACATATTAGTTGATATTTAGATTATGATCAATATTTTGTAATTATATTATAAATGACAAGGTTTTGAAAAACCGTTGCTCTAAATCCAACTTGACCGTGTTTTATTGGTTCAATTTAATTTGGTTCCAAAATTTTTATAATTTGATTTGGTTCTAAATTTTCTTTAAATGGTAAGTGATGATTTGATTTTAATTTACTCTTAAACCGAGTCAAATTAAACCATTCTCACCCTTACATGATTTTGGATCCAACACTAGGGCGTTTGAAAAGTGATTATTTTAATAATTTTTAAAATTTTTTATGAAAAGATAATATACAAAAAAATAAAAAGAGTGATGTGATTTGGTGTTTTAATTTTTTGACAATTTTAACTAAAAAGTCACCACCCCAAACAGGGCCTAAGTGGACATTATCAGGGTAGTGTGCAATGTGGTTCGGGTGGTTTGAGAGTAAAATTATAAATCAATTCGTAAAATGGCGGATTCACAAATAACCAAACTATAGTTTGGGCGGTTTGGGACGATTTTAATTTGCTAGGTGATTGAAGAACAATTTTAAACAATTATCAAGAATTTACATAATATAGAACACTAATTTGCATAATATTTTTCATATATATAACAAACTAATTTTACATAATATTTTTAATATATATAACTACTAATTTATAACAAATTTCATATTTTAAATCTCTATCATATTTATTTTTATTTTAATATTTCATTAGAAGTTAAAAAAATATGTATTAACCATAGTAGAGCGGGGTGATTTAAAATGAATTCTAAATTTCAAGTTTTACTCTATAGTTAACAGATAGATCGGTACAAATTAGGGGTGATCATAGATTCGTTTAACCCGACTGAACTGACACAACAGATTGATTTTGGGTGAATGCGTGTTTTCGATGGACGGATGCGGATGAAATACTTCAAAATCCACAGATACAGTTTAGATAGTGGATCAATCATCCACCACCTGTGTAAACCCGATCCACCCGTAGATGAAATTCAAAAAAGAAAAAGGAAAAAAACTGCTAATAAGTAACAATATAGAGTAGAAATAATAAAAAATATATATATATATATATTTGTGAAAATAAAAAATAGGGTAAATTATAATTTAACCCCCTGTGGTTTGCCTAAAAAATACGGAACCCCCTTATAGTTTCATTTGTAACACTTAAATCCCCTATACTTCATACCAAAGTGCAATTTTCGACGGAACTGTTTGTTTAAACAGAACGTGTGCTGCACGACCATGAATGGAGAGTGGAACAGTTTTTCCCACCCAAAAACATATGGCAAATGACCAAGATACCCTTATTGCCATATATATATAAACAAAATGGTGTAGTGCAATAAAGCATGGATTACACTCTTGGCAAAACATTAACATCTTTATCTCCAAATAAAATTCAGTGTTTAAGCATGGGTTTCATTTACCTCAAGCATTAACATCCTTTGAGCATGGGTTTTATTTACCTCAAGCATTAATTTCCTTTGGTTTGTTTCATTTACCTAAAGTTCTCTCTCTCTCTCTCATTATATAAATATACAACACCATAATCTTCCAGGCAAAACCACTACCATCACCTTTTGTTTCCCCTCTCATCTCACCACCATCACCTTCCATGCAAAATCACAACCAACCAACATCACCACCATCATATTCCATGCAAAACCACAACCAACTTCTTATTCCATGCAAAACCACCACTCAAAATCACCACCACAACTTCTCTCTCTAAAAATTATCCACAACCAACTTCATATTCCATGCAAAACCACCACTCAAAATCACCACCACAACTTCTCTCTCTAAAAATAATCAAAACCCACTTTTCTTCTTATAATTCAAATTAGTAACAAACCCAACCCATAAAATCAAACAATTAATATGTGTAAACATTTAGATTTTTGAAATAGCATTGATGGGATACATACCAACCAAACCCACTTTTTCTTCCCATTTTCGATATTTCTTTAGCCCATCTTTCGGACTCCATAACTTTCCCGATTCTTAACGATTTTATCCCGTTCTTTCACCAATCTTCTCACCTTGCTTTGTACTTCATTCTACGCTACCTCATTTTTTCACTTCTTCCTGAAATGGGTGGTTTCGGCATACCGAAAGTTGTCCGAAAACTTCACACATTTCAAAAAAATATCTCCAAATCTATTTCTTTCTTTTTCATCATCCACTCTCTTCTCTTGCTTCATCTATAGTGCTTTGTAAAAGGTGGTTCTTGGTTTTGACGAAGCTGGGCAATTGTGGTGATGATGGTGGTCACGGTGAGAGAGAAGATATATATATATATATATATATACATATAGAGAGAGAGAGAGAAAGAAAGAGAAGTCAAAGCTTGGGTTTACCATTTATCATTCTCCTCAGGTACACATGTTAACTTCTCAATGCTTGGTTTCACCACTATCAAGACCAAACAGATTGTACAATTTGTTGATTGGTGGTTTATAATGGCGTTAATAAGAAAATTAGAGAAATAAATAAGGGTAATTTAGACTTTTTACAATTTTTGTTACATCCGTCCAAAATTGTACTTTGGTATGAAGTATAGGGGTTTAAGGGTTACAAATGAAACTATAAAGGGGCTTCGTGTTTTTTGGATAAACCACAAGGGGTTAAGTTATAATTTACTCTAAAAAATAATACCTCAAAAATATATATATAGTGTCATGGCCTATTATAAATAAATAATACATATTTTTTCAGATTATTACTTATTGAAGATTGTAAATGTTACGAACTATAATTCAAAAAAATACTCAAAATTTATTAAGTTCAAATTGTTAAATCGATCACATTTTTTTGCTAACCCATGCAACCCGTTTAATCTACATTCACCAAATTAGTGAATAGATATAGATTGATTTTTTTTAATCCACCTAATTTTAGATAGATAATAAATAGGATATCAGCTGACTCAACTTGATCCGTCATCACCCCCTAAGAGCATCCTCACCGAGCTCTTCAAAATCATTTTTTAGCTAATAAACTTCAAAAAATCAGTTCCATCAAACTCGTTTGCAGCTCGTCAAAATTTATAGTTGCTATAGTATCTCGCTACAAGAAGTGAGGTATTGTTCATTGCTAAATTAGTGTTATCGGATGTTCGACCGGAAGTCCGGCCGATCAACGACAATTTTATTTTATTTTATTTTTGCATTTTTTAAGAATTGTTTGGATAGTAACTTATCAATTTAATAAAAAAAAAAAAGAAAGACTAATAAACACAATAAGAAAATAATATTTTAATAAGAATAAGTTAAAATAAAGCGTTTGATGCAATAGGTGTTAAGGTGACTAGTTAAAATAGTAAAATAATTTTAATTTGACTAAAAATTTGAAGAGGTTAGGATGGATACTCTAATACAAATTAGTGCAAATGAGTACAATTTTAGGCCCCGTTTGTTTTGGGGTTATATAGATGAGAGGGGATTAGGATGGAGGTAGGATTATTTAGGTCAAGTTTGGCAACTCCCCAAAAAGTTAAAAAGTCAAAAGGTTAGGCCAAGTTTGGCTAACCTAAAAAAGTGCACTTATTTCATCTTTTTATCTTTTTTGGGTCACATCAATCAACATCTCCTCTCTACTTTTTCTACACATAATACAAAAAAATTCAAAAAGTACACTTATTTAGTATTCCCAAACTTGACCTTAAAAAGCTAAAAAGTTATCACTATTCACAAAAAAAATATTAAAAAATTAATTTTCTAAGCCAAGTAATCACTGCTCTTTGCTGTGTGTCCGAACAAATCTGATCAGATTGGGTGTAACTGAACGCACTGTTGTTCAAACCGTGGGGGCCCATCACGGGTCTCGTTTTGATAATTTGAACCGTTCAATATGTAGAACTCGTCGAGTACTATATGCCTGTAAAAAATCACGTTGATCGGATATCGATAACTATATGATCAAATCAGTTTTGTATAAAAAAAATAGATGGTGTTATAATTAACGATTGAAAAAAATTAAATCTGATCAGATAACTATCGATATCTGATCAACGTGATTTTTTTATAGGAATATAGTACTCGACGAGTTCTACATATTGACGGTTCAGATTATCAAAATGAGACCTGTAATGGCCCCCACGGGCCAAACAAAACCATTCAGTGCAATGCCCAAACATTGGCCAATAATTTCTTACCATCAATTCAATTGCACATATTGTACGGTTGTCGATCCACATTTCTAATATTCTCCTACACACTTCTTTATACAAATTTTTAATACACATTTTTCAATAAAAAATCAAAAAGTTAACCCAAACATCTATATTTTTTTCCTTAAATTTTTAGTCAAAAAAGATAAAAAGTACACTTATTTAGGACACCCTAAAGTATTGTGTTTGTTTATAGAATTGGGAAGGGAATTAGGATAGAAGAAATAATATAGATAGAGGTTGGAAGGGAAATTAAGATAGATGAGGTGGAGATAGTATTAGAAAAATAATGAGGGAATTATAAATTTTTTTATTTTTTTTAAATATTAATATTTAATTTTTTATATTTTTTTTATTTATTTTATTATTTTATCTAAAAATAATTTAACAATTCCTACACTAATAACTATCATCAAAACAAACACAATTTTACTTAATCTCCTCCCCGCAACCAATTCTTTCCCCAACAACCCCTTCGCTATAATCCCTTCAATAAACTAATATCAAACCCGACCCATCTGGTATTTCACACTCCTTCTAGGTTAACTGATTCGGAGAGAGAGAGAGAGAGAGAGACAGAGAGAGAATGGAGTCACCGGGACAGTGGCTGGAGAAGGCGCTGGTGGATCTGTGTAAGAGGATAGAGACTGGTTTAGAGTTGGATGCCGATATCATCTCAGGCCTTGTCTCTTACTGCGACCTTGCATCCCCTCTTGACGCCAAAGAATACCTCGACGTAATATCTCTCTCTCTCTACATATATATATATATATATATATATGTATTCATATACCTCTATAAATATATATATGTATATTTTTCTCTGATTTATTCTTTTAATGATTTGTTTGATTGACTTTATTAAACTTTTGAATCTTCATCTTTATGGGTTTCGATTTGTATCACATTTGATAGGTTTTCCTTCACAGTTCCTCTTCTCTCATTTTGAATTTCAGGCTTGAGTTTTGTGAACATTTATTTATTAGTATCACAGTTCCTGGATGCCTAATTGTTGTGGAAACAGAGGTATTTCAATGATACTAGTCAATTATTCACATTAGAATCCTAGCAACTTGGAGAAGCATAAGGATTTTGAATATTGATGTGTGTATCCATCTATCTATCTATCTATACTATTATAAAGAGAAGGCTCAACTTGGTGTTTATGTCTCATGTTTTTTTTTAAAATTTTTTTTCCAAAGTACCCCTATAGCAATTAGGTGGGTAGTTAATTAAGCCTTAAATTCAAAAAAAAAATTTTTGGTTCTTTTCAAACCTCTCAACTTGCAATTTTAGATTTTGAATTCAAGCATACAGTTTAGGTGCCCACGCATCGCTTGCGCCACCACTTCTAGTATATATATACATGCGTATGTTCATATGTAGTCCTTTGGGTATTCTATTTGTCTTGGTGCATAAGTTGGGTTAAAATATGATGAAAGATAAGAATGTAAGCAATATAATGGATAAACGTATAGGAAATTTGTTACTTGCCTCATTTTCCTCAGGTCTAGCTTGTTAAACAAAAGTATGGATAAAACAGGTAGGAGTATTTGAATTTCAATTGTGGTTTCAGGCAAGCTGTAATGCATATGGGCCATTTTTTTTTTTTTTTTTTCTTTTCCTTCTTTGATATTTGTATAATGAGAATTTTCTACCCTAAACCTCGCCAGCAACTTATGGATAAACGTATAGGAAATTTGTTACTTGTCTCATTTTCCTCAGGTCTAGCTTGTTAAACAAAAGTATGAATAAAACAGGTAGGAGTATTTGAATTTCAATTGTGGTTTCAGGCAAGCTGTAATGCATATGGGCCATTTTTTTTTTGTGTTTTTCTTTTCCTTCTTTGATATTTGTATAATGAGAATTTTCTACCCTAAACCTCGCCAGCAACTTTTTTTAACCACCTTGAGGATGGCTGATGCTTGATATGTTACCTTAGCGGTCGTTATCACAAGTTTTATTCTCTATGTAAACTTTGAGTGGGATTGATTTATGTGAGTACAAGATATAAACAAGCTTGAAATATTGTATCTATATCACGCACTTTTATAAAGTTGTATCTTGTTTTATTCTTGGCCTACAGTTTTGGGGGGCCTATGCACTTTTAAGCTGCAGCTTCTTTATGAACTTGGCTATCTCAACAAAGATTTAAGCCTTCATTTTAATATAATAAAGATTCTTGACTCGGTAGCAGAAATTAATACGTGGAAATTCAAGAAACTTGAGAAAATAGGCTTCTTATGGTGCTGCATAGTTGGGTTACTGGTGTGGTAGGTCATGATGTTTTTACTTTTGTACAGTTTGTGGAGGATTTGATTAGTTAGGTTTTGCGGGCTGGTGTGGGTTGGTGTTTTTTTTTGTATTCTTTGCATCGTCTTGATGCTTTTTTAATAAAGTTCGCTTATTTATCAAAAAATAAAAATAAAATAAAAAAAATTCAAGAAACTTGAAGACACAGTTTCATATGAGAACTACGGGACCAAATTGGCTATTGGCTTTGATACTAAAAGATAGAAGGGAAAACAATGCTAGCTGAAATAAACAATTGTGAAAATTGAAATGTACTGTCCATGGTATGACTCTTTTTTTTTTTAAATTATTTATTTTCTTGTTCAAGAATAAGACCTTCTAAAATGGGACAAATTCATAGGCTCTGCATGCAATTGAAATAATCCAATTTCAGTTTTTTTTCCCCATTCCCTGTGGGCTTTGTAATCTATCACCTAATTCTTGCTTTAGATGAACATAAATGTGAACATGAAGAAAAATTGACTATATTGTATTAAACTTTATGTGATAAATCCTGTCTCTCAAGTATTGTGGATGAATCATGTTTCACAGTTTTGGTGTATCTGATGCTAGGCATTTGGTTAAACAGTTCAATTTAATGCAGCCATGTCTTATTTTTTCTCCTTCTCTGCCTTTTATCAAATCCTGTTTGGTTATTTGTTCTTATTCTTTTTGCAAATTGCAACACCCTGAATTTAGACCACGCAACTGTTTGTTACTGATGCAACTGTGGCCTGCCTTGCACATTGCCTACCAACAATGTATGCTTAAAACATGGAAGGGTTAGACTTCATGCACCACAAGTACAATAATAAGTGTTGCATTGATCGAGTTCGTGGTTTTCATTGCACTTTGAAGTTTAATTTTTCCGTTTTCCTTCACATGCTATACCCGCAATTTTTGTTTTTTTATTTTTGTTGAGCAGCATTAATTGGAAGTTTTACACCTCTTGTTTGTTTACTTCATCTACAGAATATCATTGGCCAGGAAGCAGGCAAAAGTGTAATTGACGAATATTTAAAACGGAGAGGTCATTCCAATATAGGTAACAGCTCCACAGTTGCTTCATCATTGTCCAAATTGCATGCATATGTGAAACCACCTTCAAATGACGGTTTGGTTAGTGGAACCAAAAAGCCATCAAGAGCACCAAAAGAGGTTACAGTTTCCCATAGTCAGGAAAATCGTGTGCCAGCGGAGACCAAGGAATCAACGAACACGCATAAAGGAAACCAAGGTAGTTCTAGAAAGAAAAAAACAGGAAAAGTCGTTTCACTCGCAGAGGCTGCAAAAGGTTCAATTGTATTCCAGCAGGGAAAACCATGTTCGTGCCAAGCCCGTAGGCACAAACTGGTAAGTAATTGTTTGTCTTGTGGGAAAATAGTCTGTGAACAGGAAGGGGAAGGACCTTGCCTTTTCTGTGGGGCCCTCGTGTTGAGGGAAGGAAGCACTTATGCTGGTCTCGATGAAGGTGTAGTTCCCCTTTCAAATGCTGAGGTGGCAGCCGAAGCTTATGCAAAGAGGCTTGTTGACTATGACCGGAACTCTGCAGCACGTACAACAGTCATAGATGACCAGAGTGACTACTACGAGATTGAAGGCAACACTTGGCTGTCAATGGAGGTATCTAATTTATGGCAATCTATGTTGTGAAAGATGCATAGTTGATATGAGGTTTGATAAGATCAGATACATTTCTTTTTTACATTTTTCCCCCTCTTTTTATACAATCAGTACAGTTCTTTTTTACAATTTTTCCCCTCTCTTTTTATCGCTCTCTTGCAGGAGAAGGAACTTCTAAGGAAGAAAAAAGAAGAGATTGAAGAGGCTGAGCAGGCCAGACGAAGTAAAGTAATTATGACTTTCGACTTGGTTGGCCGCAAGGTTGTATATCTTTACCAAATTGACTATCTTTTATGTGGTAGTGAGTTTAGTCTTTCTTGCATAAACAAATTTATTTATTTATTTATTTTTGCAATGAAACCTCAAGTTGATTCAGGTACGTGTGTGGCTTTTTACCGTTACTACATCCTTAAGTCGTTTACCAAGTTTTCTCCTTACCATTTGGACCTTTAATTTTTCCATCACCATATTGGATAATGAAATTGCATTGCAGCTTACCACCTGACCTTTATTTTTCTGACATGTTATAATTATAATTGCTATTTTGTTTTTTGTTTCACCAAAAAATTGGGAAGATGAGAATTTTTTAACTACACACTGTACATGAATTTTTTGTTTTTGTTTTACCTGGCTGTACGCTCCATTTGTTTGGGCGGCACATTTTCTAGCATTTGGTACAGAGGAAAACAAAAAAAATTTATTTGGGCAACAAAAAATTTCCATGATCAACAAAAAACATTCTTTATTTGGGCAGAAATTTTTTTCCACTTTGAAAGGTGATCCGGAGTAAAGTCATACCAATGCTGTGACACTACTACAACCACCATCACCTACACCCACACCACCACCACCACCACTACCACTTTTTGGAAAAAGTTTTCCGTAAAAAAATATTTTCAACCGAAACAAATGGAGCATTGATATGCTGTGTGCTGCCCAAATATATTTTACATTTTGAATTAACTGAACTAGTATTTTCCCATTTTCACAGGTGCTTACAAACAAAGATGAAGTTTCAGAATCAGAAATGGAGAACAGAATTCTACGGCCACCTGATGAGAGAGAAGCAAACCGGATTAAACCAAACCCGACCCTTAAATTACAACCCATCTTCATTGACCCTGGCACCAGCAGGAGGCCTGTCAAGGGAAACCATTTGAACAAGGGCGTATTGGCTGGCTTGTGCTTGGAAATAAGTGGGAGGGTGCAGCATGATAGCAATGATTTAAAACGCATTGTGATGGACAACGACAAGAACATGGAAGATGAAGTTGAATGTTCTCTAGATTACCAATGAGATAGAAATACCTGTTTTGCTATAAGCTTCTGCTCTTTCTTCACAAGCTTCATGTGATTATCAAGGGACAAGTTTTACTTAATTTTTTGCTGGTTTAAACAGTATATATACATGCATGTTTTGGTTGGAGGATGTAATTCATGGAAATGAAACACTGTTCTCTGTGTTTTTCAGTAATTTGTTGTTTTGGCATTTTACAGCTCTTTATCTATTTGCCAGATCTTCAGGCAACTGTGGTATGATGATCTAAGAGCATGTTTGTTTTGAGGGATAAGAGGGTGGGATTAGACTATTAGTCCTATCGGACTAATAGTCCATTGTTTGTTTGAAAAATTTTGTTCCGGAATAATAGTCCTCCCGGACTATTAGTCCCACAAACATGGGATTATCCTATCCCATGGGGGAGTGTGGGATAGAAACCATGGGATTGGTATCCCATGGAATTATTTTGTGAAATGTTCATTTTACTCTTCATGCTATTACTTAGTGAACAATTAGAAAAGGGTAAAATAGTCTTTTGAACATTTATAAATTATTTTTTTAGTGTTGTTAATTTAAACTATATATTAAATAAAAAATTTAAATTATAAATTATAAATTAAATTTAATTAAAAATAATAAATTATAAATTATGACCTTATAAATTAAATTTTTTTAGTGTTGTTGAAAATTTAATTTATATATTAAATAAAATTATTTTTTATTGTCGTTTGTTTGGATAAGTAAGAAATAAAAGAGTGCTTGGAAATAAGTGGGAGGGTGCAGCATGATAGCAATGATTTAAAACGCATTGTGATGGACAACGACAAGAACATGGAAGATGAAGTTGAATGTTCTCTAGATTACCAATGAGATAGAAATACCTGTTTTGCTATAAGCTTCTGCTCTTTCTTCACAAGCTTCATGTGATTATCAAGGGACAAGTTTTACTTAATTTTTTGCTGGTTTAAACAGTATATATACATGCATGTTTTGGTTGGAGGATGTAATTCATGGAAATGAAACACTGTTCTCTGTGTTTTTCAGTAATTTGTTGTTTTGGCATTTTACAGCTCTTTATCTATTTGCCAGATCTTCAGGCAACTGTGGTATGATGATCTAACTGATTTTATGGGTTTGGAATTTTTCTGATGTATTTAATCAAAGGGGAAGGCTATTATGCATACCTAAAGGGTGGCCTCGTGTAGAAACAAGTTATTTTAGTAAGTTTTTTATTTTTTACCAAAAAATATACATAAAAGTAGAGAGAATGATGTAATAATTAATGATTTTTTGACTTTTTAACTAAAATTGAAAGTTGTTAAACGAGCTGATAGTGTGTCCTTTTAAAAAATATATATATATATATATATATATATATTAACATAAATTATAAAATATTTACTATAAAAATTATAATTTTTGTTTATCACAAAAAAATTAATAAAAATCACATATTCTTAATTACATCGCAATTGTGAGTCACAATAGTAGGTGTTTTGGCTTGAAATGGAAAGACCACAATAAATCACACAATTCTATATGAAATTTTCGACACAAATTATGTTTGTATGTAATTATCCTTTGGACTTCAAATTGATTGGGTAGATTAGAGCATGGGATTGGGATTATTAATCCGTGGGCCCAATTATCCTATGTTTGTTTTAACACTTTGGTTTAGGATTATTAATCCAATGGATAATTAATCCAACAAATTTGTAGGATTATTAGTAATGGACTATAAAAATTATAATTTTTGTTTATCACAAAAAAATTATTAAAAATCACATATTCTTAATTACATCGCAATTGTGAGTCACAATAGTAGGTGTTTTGGCTTGAAACGGAAACACCAGAATAAATCATACAATTCTATATGAAATTTTCGACACAAATTATGTTTGTATGTAATTATCCTTTGGACTTCAAATGTAGGTCTCTAAGTTTCTTAGTAAACAAACTAAACTTTTTCTTTTCTTTTTTAATAAATAAAATGGATTACATGTCAATTTTGTAGTTTCTTTTAGTTGTGAGAAGGTGGTGACTTGAAATATAAATTGATTTTTGCAAGTTTTGAAAGACTAGACAAGTTGGAGGTACTTAATTTGAGAGGCAATTCATTAGATAATAACATCTATGCTCTTATCACCGAAGACTTTATACTTATCGAGTAACTAGTTGACTGAATCAATTGATATAGGAGGTAATCCTAATATAAAATACTTCTCATATTTACAATAAAACAATTAAGTAGAAATTACAAAAAAAAAAAAAAAAAAAAACTTAGGATTTGACCATTTTAACAAATTAAATTCAGAATTTTTAATTTTGTCAATTTAAATTCTAAACTTTCGATTTATTTTCAATATAAATCATTACTTATTTTTGTTAAGTAAAATTAACGAAAAAAAGTATTTTAATTATTAAACTCAATAAAAATGGTATTTTAAACATTTTATGTATATTTAAATTGAGTTTAATAACTAAAATACTACTTTCTATTAATTTTACTTAATAAAAATAGACGAATGATTTAGATTGAAAGTAAATCAAAAGATTGAGATTTCAATTGATAAAATTAAAAATTAACGGTTTATTTTGTTACAAGTTTCAAATCCAAAGTTCTTTTTTTTTTTTTTGTAATTGTCCCAATTCTTCTTAAATTTATACTAATATTGTACGAAAATGAAAATTTGATGAAATACTTGGTGCTAAGTATAAATAAACAAAACATAAATTTGTTCGAAGGAAGAGCACTCTTTCAGAAGACCTGTTCGCGACAACGGAAAGTGTGGATGGCAGTTTGGCAGTGACGCGTCCACCTTTTTCAAAATCATCAAATTCATCAAACACTCCTCGTAGTAGCCGATTATTTTCTTCAATTACTTAAAAAAAAACACACGCACAAATTTAATTTACAAAATGATTAAATTACAAATACATCTTATAAAATTTAGTTAAAATATGAATTATTTCTTATAATTTAAAAAATTATAAATATTTTCTTGTTAAAATTTTTTATTTAATAAAATTAATAAAAAAACTAAAATTCTTTATTATTCTCTTATACATACAATAATAAAATTACTTAAAAATATAATATAAAATTTAAAATTACCGGAATAATTTATATTTTAAACAAATTTCAAAAATTTGTTTATAATTTATCCAAAAATATTTGCGGAGTCTTCATCTTAGGCCTCGTTTGACAACTACATGTTTTAGTTAAAAAAATCACTATAAATTGTTATATCTATCTATACTCTCTACTTTTCTGTACATCTTTTTAAAAAAAATTAAAAAATTACTAAAATAGTTTGTTCCTAAATGACACTATAACAAAAACATACTTTAGTGGCACTACACTAGTGGCATATTTTTAAAAAATGCCACAAAAAATGATATTTAGTGGCACGTTTTTGAAAAATGCCATAAAACGACAAATATAAAAGGCTCTAGTGACATTTTAATGAGCAAGTGTCACAAAACTACAACAAAAACATACTTTAATGGCACTACACTAGTGGCATATTTTTAGAAAATGACACAAAAATGATATTTAGTGGCACGTTTTTGAAAAATGCCACAAAACGACAAACATAAAAGGCTCTAGTGACATTTCAATGAACAAGTGTCACAACACTACAACAAAAACATATTTTAGTGACACCATACTAGTGGCATGTTCTTAAAAAATGTCACAAAAAGAATATTTTGTGGCATTTTTTAGAAAAATGTCATAGAGCCACAAACATACAAGGCTCTAGTGGCATTTCAATTAAAAAAAGTGTCACTTCACTACAACAAAAATGTCACTACAAAAACTTTTTATGAATAATTGCAATGGCATTTTTTAAAAAATGTCAGGACACTAGGTAGGTGCAAATGACTTTTTATGGCACTTAGGTGAAAAGTGTCATAAACAAATATTTTATAGCATTTTGAGAAATGCCACTAAGCCAAAAACTTTCCAAGCTTATAATGACATTTTTGAAAAAATAATAAATGTCAATATATTTTCTAAATTTTTAAAATGCAATAAATGATTAAAAATAAATGAATTAAACTCAATATACACTCCAGGAAAAAGCATATTCGGCGACTAAATTTCTTGACTAAAAAAATTTGGTCGCTGAAAGTATAGCTTTCAGCGACCAAAACATCATTAGTTGCCAAAAGTAAAGTTTTTTGGCGACTAAACAATTTTAGTAAAAGCCTACAATTGGCGACTAAAACTAAGTTTGGTCGCTGATTATATGGGTTTTAGTGACTAAAAAATTTTTAATAGCCCAAAGTAAAGTTTTTTGGCGACTAAAAAAATTTAATAGCCAAAAGTCTACAATTGGCGACTGAAAATAAGTTTGGTCGCTGATTATATGGATTTTACCGACTAAAAAAATTTTAGTAGCCAAAATTAAAGCTTTTTGGTGCCAAAAAAATTTTTTGTAGCCAAAAGTCTACAATTGACGACTAAAAAATAAGTTTAGTCGCCAAAAGTGGTCATTTTTAGCGCGGGAGAACTAAAATCTTAAGGCGGGAATAAAATTTTTTGGTGACCAAAATTTTGGTAGCTGAAAGTGCATCTTCGGCGACCAAATCCGATTTTGGTCGACAAAAGTTAAGTTTTATAGCAATTAAAAAACAATTAGTAGCCAAAAGTATAGAATTGGCGACTAAAAAATATTTTTAGTCGCCAAAAGTGGTTGTTTTTTTATTTTGGTAGTAAATAGTTTATTTTACATAAATTATGTTCAATAAAATAATTATGTTTATACATATACTTTTATATTAATATGGATGTATGTACTATATATATAATATATGTTGCATATATAATCATGTGGTAGTATAGAGGTGTAGTGGGAAGAGTGTGGTGTATAAGGTATATGGTGCGGAAGGTTGGCGGTTCGAGTCTCCGCAAGAGCGGATCAAATTGTTCTACAACGAATTATCGTCATGAATGGCACTTGATAGCGTCACGAATAGTGCCTACCATGACATTAAAGTGTCATTGAAAGGTTTTAGTCTTGATGGTGTAATGACACTTATAAGTGTCACTAACTCTTTTTTTAATGGCGCTTGATAGTGCCACAAATAATATCTACCATGACATTAAAATGTCATTGAAAGTTTTCAGCCATAATGGTGCAGTGGCACTTGCAAGTATCTATCGTGACGCTCGTATCTACCGTGGCACCGATAGAAGTGGCACTTGTTCAAAATGCCACAAGACCAAAAAATGTCATTAGAAGAATAGTTTTGTGGCACTTTCAAATGTCACTAAATTAAGAAAATGTTGTAGTGTGAGGCCTTAGTGCTTGTTTGGCATGTGTGCTATTGTAACACATTATCTTATTTGGATCATATTATCTCTCTACAATATCACTTCAAACTCCATCCATATTTCAAATTTTTTTATTTATAAAAAATCAAAAAATATACTAATCTAACACTTCTTCAATAAAATTTTACACTATGTTTGGGAACCTATGAGAGAAAAAAAAAGAAGGATTACTTAAGTTTGAGATAAAAAAAGAAAAAGAAAAAGAAATGATTGTGATTTCTCTCATTTTTGTTTGGATAAGTAAGAAATAAAAGAAAAAAATGATTATGATTTCTCTCATTCTTATTGGGTTAGATTTCATAAAAGAAAAGAAAAGAAATTATTTTGTGTTATATTACCAAAATAACCTTTTTATATCTTCAATCATTTTATTTCTTTTATTTTTATAGGGACAAAATTGATATTATGAAAATATTAATTTATTTTCTTTCCTAATCTCTCCACTTTTAGAAAAATTAAAAATGAGAGTTATAAAAGAAATGAGTTGCTGTTCGTTTCTCTTCATTTCTCTCCACTTAAGTAATCAGAACAAGTAAGAGAAATATATATTTATCTATTTCTTTTCTTATCTCTCAAAACCAGTCAATCCAAACAGAGCGTTAGTCTCAACAAAATGGTGTGTTTGGTCTGTGTTTGTAGAGTAGTTTTTGCGATGAAAAGTACGAAAACTTATTTGGTTTGCCTTTTTTCAGAAATGGTTTTAGAAAATTGTTTTAAGGAGAAAGTTTTAAAAAAAGTGATTGATTTGATATGTATGAGAAAAAAAGAGTGATTTTAAAAAGTAGGTAACCAAACAAAATTTGAGATTTTTTTTAAAAAAATTTATTTAATTTGATTACACTTAAAAATTTGTTTATAGAGAATTTTTCTCAAAAAATTTTCTTAAAAACAAGCCAAACAAGAGTCTCCTCGCACTTTTTTTTTTGATGATCGGATGTCCAATCTAATTTATTGGGCAAATTACATATACTTCTCTTGAGATTTGGCTAAATTACAGATATCTCCCGAGGTTTCGAAAATTACATCCCGCCCCTCAAAGTTTGTATTTTCATAACAATTTGCCTCCTAAAGTTTAAATTTCATAACAAATTACCTCATAATTTGTTATGCAAATATAACATTCAAAAAAAAATTTATAATTTTTCAAATCTCAAGAAAATATTTATAATTTAACCAAACCTTTAGGGTATATGTAATTTGTCCTAATTTATTTTATGCTCACTTAAATTGATCTCAAGACTCACATAAACCATCCCTTTGTATAAATCCGCGTAAATCGGACGAATCTTAAAGGGGAGCACCCCTAGGCCCAACTTGCACAGCGCACGCCAACCCTTGGGTTATGCCTCTTCGCGCACTCATCATCAAACATCAACATCTACTTCTACATCTACATATATATATATATATATATATTATAGTATCCGCAAAATACGCTTTATATAGATCGAATAATCTCATTCTCTTGGCTGAGTTTCCAATTATTTATTTATTTATTTTATTCTCTTTTCAAAAGCTTTGGATTTGCGACTTTCATTCAGACACACACCATCTTTGCCTCCTCCTCTTCTCTGCTCTGCTGCTTTCACCATCTCTCTCTCTCTCTCTATCTCTCTCTCTCTATCTACACATTGAAGCCGGAGATGTCTTTAATTTGACTTTGTCCCAACCAGATCGCCAATTTCTCTCTAAGATCCGTAAGATCAATTTTAATTTTCTTTCCCAGATCTCTCTTCAAAATTTTATTTTGTTTTTTAAATTTTGAATTGTGCATCTGGTACTGATTAATTGACTTCTTTTATTTATTTATTTGTTATTTTGTTGATTATTTCGATTCATTGTCTTGCTTTTTTGTGGACGGTTAATTTAGTTATTTATAAGCCTTCTACTTCATTTAGATCTCATAATTGTAAGCAAATTCAAACAAACGATTCTTGTACTTGGGGGTTTGTATCTTCATTAATGCTTTCAACTACGACAATGCCTTTTTTGTTTTTTTTTTCATGGGCATTTATGTCTTCTTACTGTGGGTCCTGGAATATGCTTAAAATGTTCATATCATGAGATTTGGGGAAATCATTATTCAGTGTAAATGCAGGAAAAAAAAATTAAACATCAATGATAAGCTTTATGAACATCAATAATTAAATTTCTGAACTTTTTTTTTAAAATACGTCTGAATTGTAATTCCCCCATGAGATTTTGTATGAGTGGAGGATATTGCACTAATGAATAGATATAAATATGAAATATTTTTGGAAATTGTGCCTAGAGGAGGATGAATAGGACAATTATTGAAAATTATTTTAAAATTACCCAATTATCAATAGATATATATATGCCCTGTCATTGAGGTGGTTTTTTTGGCCTCTAATTTATTTATTTTTTATATTTTAAATTTGTCTACACTAGATGAACTGCAAAGTAAAAATTTTGATACAAATTTGAAAAAAAAATTCAATAAAGACAAGAAAGTTCAGAAAAAAATGTGGTTTTGTTGGCTAGATGCCAAATGATGCCTAAAGCTATGTGTTGCTTGCCATTAGATTCTTACATGTAGGCTATGTATCACTAGCTTGTTATTTAGTGGATGCATGTTTGCTTCTTATTGTCTTCTTGTTATTTGTAGTTTTTTCTATTTCAAGGTACAACATTAGGAAGTAATATCCTTAGCTACTTATGTATAGGGCTGTAATCACACTTTTGATGGAGGTTTTTTGAGAAATTGAAATTTCAAATTTTGATATTTGTCTTCTAACCTTACTTTTCACCTATGAAGCACGGACAACCCTTAAGAGGTGACACGCTCCGGACACGTGTCGGATGTGCTGTAGAGAGTCGGACACTCTGGGACACTTGTAGACATGCTACAGACACACTGGGGCTCATTTTTTAAAAAAGGAAATTAAATTTTTGATTTTTTAAAACTTAAAATAGCATACCTAAGATAGATATTTTTGATAAAATTAAATACTTGATATAAAACAAATATTAAATATTTAAAAATATGACATATAATAAATATATAAAATTATATGTTTTGCACGTGACCCCAACATGTTGTGTCTTGCATGTTTTAAAAATTTGTGTGTCCACGTGTTTGTGTCGTATCACATGTTCGTGTCCGTGCTTCTTAGCTTTTCACTTTGGCTTGTTTTTTTTTTTGAGCTCCATAGCTCGTGGAATTCAAGCATTGTTGGTTGGATTTTTCATAAATCACTTCTAAAATCTAAGTTTTGCATAGTTGGACCTAAATTAAAGTGTTATTTGAATCCACCTTTGATAATAGTTGTTGGAACCTCGAACCAAACTACACCACCAACCCCTCTCAATCTCACCTCTCATGGATATGTGAATGCACCTTACTTATCTCTGTACTCATTATTGTCTGATTAACCAAACAAATACAGTCCCATTTATGACTGCAGTTATTTCAGAATCTTGGGGAATAACTTTGGTTGTCATACTATTTGCTTCACTCTCTCCAGTCAATGACCCCTGCTCAACCCGAAGGAAGATGGGGCGGGCGGGCGAAGGGGGATAGTGCTATGGCAGTTGTAGGGGAGAAGGGAGGATATAATGGTGGAAGGAGAAGGAGGAGAGCGCAGCGGTGACAGTGGAATTGGAGAAAGGGCAGCGGTGGAAGGGTAAGTGAAGGAAAGGGGCGGGTGGAGTTTGCTGGTAGCGGGAACTAAATGGAAAAGATGACGACAGACTGAAAGGTTAGCCTGATTCGGTGAGGTCAAGTGCATGGGAGGGTTGATAATAGGTGGTTTTCTTATGGTTGGTTGATGTTGTGATCTAATGTAGTCAAATTAAAAATTGGGATTGATATGACGTTGAAAAGGCGAGAGGATGAGTGCCATGAGTGCTACAAAATCTTTTTTTTTTCTTTCTTTCTTTCTTTCTTTCTCATTACACAAGTACACAGAGATGATGGACGGTTGGGATTGACATTAAGTTGAAAGATCATGGTTCAAATTAACAAGTTTGAAAAACAAGGTTTAGTTGGGTAAAGCCTTTTTCTTTTTTCTTTTTCTTTTTTTAAGTTTCCCTAGGCTTCACTTGACATAAGCAAGTGATAATCAATGGCATAAGATTCTTAATGCCAGGAGAGAAGATATGTGAAGAAGGTAGGCAAAAGTAAAAGTGAGATTTAACTTTTTATCTTGGTGAACCTTTGCTATAATATTAATTTTACAATTATATGTTTAATATTGTTCTAACTATGTGGGTGTTTGGGATGTTGCTATTTTAGTAGGCTATTTTAGTTTTTGACTATTTTAGGGTTCGTTTGGGAAGTGGGTTAGCTTTTTGGTTTTTTTGGCTATTTTAACTTGGGGCTAAAAAATCTCGTTTGGGAATGACTTTTGGCTTTTTTAGCTTTTTTGTGAGAGAAAGAATGTAATGATTATGAGTTGGATGTGACATTTTGTTTTTTGTAAAAAGCCTATTTTGTTTTCTGTGGCTATTTTAGCAAAAAAAAGCCTAACCTTTGGCTTCCCAAATGAAGCCTTAGTAGGCTAAAATTTTTGTATTTGGGAAGATAGTTGGATTTTTTTGTAGTTGGATGTGATGTTTGTGAGAGAAAAAGTGAAATGATTATGGATTTGATGTGACATTTTGTCTTATTAGCTATTTTTGCCTATTTTATCTTTTTGTGGATTTTAGCCAAAAAAAAGGCTAAAATCCAACTTGCCAAACACCCCCTATGTCAGAATATTAAGGTATACATGATGTATGATATGTTTGGGAAGTCCTGGCCACCCTTCTCCGTTTTGAGGGATCCCTCATATTGAGGATTCCAGGCTTCCTGAACTCGTAAGAGAAGGCTAGGAAAAAAGAAGAGGGTCAGTAGTCTTTGCCATTGCAGGTCCTTCTCCTTCCAGTCCATACTGGATTTTTCATCACTCAAAAGATCAGAATGAGAAATATCATGTGGTAGATCTGTTAGCTGATTTGGAAGATCTCTCTGAGGCTTTTAACTGATGTAAAAAATTCTCTGGAAATTTGTTTTCTTTTTTTGATGCTTTTTTAGATGTATATATGAGAATTGTATATTATACCTTATGTCGTATGTGTAGATATATTTGCCGTACGACATGAGTAATGATATGTATTGACTGACCCCTAATTGAGTGTATCATGACATGAACCATATGATCCTAGCACTTTGAGAACTTAGTTGATTAGTTGTGGAGATGCTGGAGGATGCACAATTACCTATTATTGTGTTTACGGATAGGAATGGTGTGTTTTGCTTCTTACTTAATGTGTTGGACACAGACAATCTGCTCTAGACTTGGGGCCAATCATCCATTTGTGCATTTCTGAATTTAATCTAATAAATATAAATTGTACTTGCAGATATTTATTTATGTTCAAGTGAGAATAGGTATGTATGCATAAACACCATAGGCAGCGCAACGATGAAAACAAATATGATTCTACCTTCTCTCTCTCTCTAGTTGTTGTGTCAATGGGTGTCTGATGTTGAATATATCAATAGGGAGAAATGTGGTGCATATGTTAACTCGCATAAATCTTCTATTTTACAGTATTTTTTCCCTTAAGACCTGTTCAGGTCGAGCATTTACTTATCCAACATTTTCAGATTAGGGATCCTTTTGTTTCATTTATCTATCAATTTTAGAATTTTAAAGGGGTTAAAAAATTACAGTCAAATCATGGCAACGAAAGGGAATCCAGGAGACAATAGAACCAGGAGTTCCGTATCTATCTTTATTGTTATTGGGCTATGTTGTTTCTTCTACCTTTTGGGTGCATGGCAAAGAAGTGGCTTTGGTAAAGGAGATAGCATAGCTTTGGAGATAACAAAAAAGGCGGACTGTAGCATCCTTTCCAATCTCAATGTTGAGACTCATCATGGCGATGAAGCTGGGACTGTTGATGATTCAATAGAATTGAAGGTTTTTGAGCCGTGTGATGATCGCTACATTGATTACACTCCCTGCCAAGAACAAATGCGGGCAATGACGTTCCCTCGAGAAAATATGAACTACAGGGAGAGACATTGCCCTCCAGAGGAAGAGAAGCTGCATTGCCTTGTTCCGGCACCGAAGGGATATGTAACTCCATTTCCATGGCCCAAGAGTCGTGATTATGTTCCGTATGCAAATGCGCCATATAAGAGCTTGACGGTTGAGAAAGCAGTTCAGAACTGGATTCAATATGAAGGCAATGTGTTTAGATTCCCAGGTGGTGGAACACAGTTTCCTCATGGCGCAGATGCTTATATTGAAGAACTTGCTTCAGTGATTCCGATGGACAATGGAATTGTTAGAACTGCATTGGATACTGGTTGTGGGGTAAGTCAAGAATTTATAAATGCATCCTTAATTCTGTGTAAATCTGCTTGGTTGTTCTGCCTTCAACACCCACAAGCGCCCTCAATTTCTTTTCTTTGGAGGATTATTAGGAATATTATTTTCATTTTATTTCACTTTGGATTGAGTGAGGCTTTCCTATTTTCGCGTTCATGTATACAGACATGCTCCCCTTTTTATTAGGGGTTTAATTTCCTTTTTTCCCTTAATAAGATTTATATTAATCTATATAGTTCCTTGATGTGCAGCTTGTTTTGTCTGGCCTGTGGCTTTATAGTTTATATATATTGTTTATTTATTTATTGCTGTTAGGTTGCAAGTTGGGGTGCATACCTGTTCAAAAAAAATGTCATAGCTATGTCATTCGCACCAAGAGATTCGCATGAAGCACAAGTTCAATTTGCTTTGGAAAGAGGCGTGCCAGCAATTATAGGTGTTCTTGGAACAATAAAGCTACCATACCCATCAAGAGCGTTTGACATGGCTCACTGTTCTCGTTGCCTGATTCCATGGGGTGGAAATGGTGAGTATAGTTACTTCAGTAGATTTCTTTGTGCTATTTTGTGTCATGGGTGGTTTCTAACTGAGCTGTAGCAAAACCAAGACTTTCCTTGCCTTTTGTCTAGTTATTTTTAGGATTAAAAATGCTTTGATGAGCCAAGATGCTAAAGCTTGGCGTTGATCATCAATCATTATTATTACTGACATAGGTTTGGCTCAATTTTGATGAATGACTGGTGTCTAATATTTACAATAGACATCATTTTGTAAATTATCAATAAATAAATAGAATTGTCCTATGTTTAGATCCTATGGCATTGCTAGCTAATTAGTTGTTCCTGCTAATGATCTTCGCACTTTAGTAGCTCTGTAATGTGATGTCAATGAGCATATGTATTGATATATCGATGAGCTCATGTGTGGAGCATATAACCAGAAATGTGTCTAGGTGTGCCTGTTTAGACACATTAATCTTGAGTTTTGGTTCAGATCAGTTCAAAAGCTACTTCTGTGCAAAGCCTAACTCAAAATGAGTGGATCATATAAGATTTTGATGTGTTAGAATGACTAGTTTGCAGACTCACGAACCAAAATTACGACACTGTTATTCTAATGATGTTCTTTCTTTCTATTTTTTTGGGTGTGCATTCTAATGATCAAGTTTGGGTCTTGATAAATGATCACATTTTTTCTTCTTTTGTTTTCCTTTTGAGTGAGTGATTGATATAATATATATTATGGATATACTTTTAAGTGTACATGTTTGTAAACAACATTGTTGGACTTGTCTTTGCAGATGGAATGTACATGATGGAAGTTGATCGAGTTCTTAGAACTGGAGGGTAAATTATGAAGCATGGCAGCGCCCAAAAGAGGAACTTGAGGAGGAACAGAGGAAGATTGAAGAGATTGCCTTTAGTAGCTCTTCGCACTTTAGTAGCTCTGTAATGTGATGTCAATGAGCATATGTATTGATATATCGATGAGCTCATGTGTGGAGCATATAGCCAGAAATGTGTCTAGGTGTGCCTGTTTAGACACGTTAATCTTGAGTTTTGGTTCAGATCAGTTCAAAAGCTACTCCTGTGCAAAGCCTAACTCAAGATGAGTGGATTATATAAGATTTTGATGTGTTAGAATGCCTAGTTTGCAGACTCACGAACCAAAATTATGACACTGTTATTCTAATGATGTTCTTTCTTTCTATTTTTTTGGGTGTGCATTCTAATGATCAAGTTTGGGTCTTGATAAATGATCACATTTTTTCTTCTTTTGTTTTCCTTTTGAGTGAGTGATTGATATAATATATATATTACGGATATACTTTTAAGTGTACATGTATGTAAACAGCATTGTTGGACTTGTCTTTGCAGATGGAATGTACATGATGGAAGTTGATCGAGTTCTTAGACCTGGTGGATACTGGGTGCTTTCAGGTCCACCCATCAACTGGAGGGTAAATTATGAAGCATGGCAGCGCCCAAAAGAGGAACTTGAGGAGGAACAGAGGAAGATTGAAGAGATTGCCAAATTTCTTTGCTGGGAAAAGAAGCATGAGAAGGGTGAAATTGCCATCTGGAGGAAAAGAGTAAACAAGGAGTATTGCTCTGAGCGAGAATCTCGTGCGACTATGTGTGACTCCACAAATCCAGATGATGCCTGGTATGTTTTTGAACTTGATAACTCTTAGGTATTCTACCAGCTTCTTGAATGTTAATTGGCCTAACTGTTGAACTTATGCTCTGATTGATTAGATGCGCTATCCAGCTGTGCTGAAATTTGTACAATATTGTAATTATCAGTTTTTTTTGCTCTACTTTCTTCTGGTTGTGTAGTTCATTACTTCTTTGACTAGTAACTAGACAAGTGATATTGACTGAACTTTGGTCTTTGGTATCTGTATTCTTTAGCTGTGCATCTTTCTTGCATCGAATTCATGTAAGAGTGTGTCTCTCTCGTATAAGTTTCAGGCCATGGTTTGCTTGCCTTCCCTTTTGGAGTTCACGAGTCATGAGAACTTAGGGGCTAATCAATTAAAAAAGGTCGAAGAAACCATAGACTTTGAAGTTTGTAAAAAGTTGATTTATAAATATAATTCTAGTTTTCTTTCTTGGTTCTTTTCTTTTCTGATAAGTCAGTTGTCTTTCTGTGTTCTTTAGTTTTATTATAGGAAAGGCTCGGCAAGTATGGTGTGGCCATGAGGCTGTAGATTTGCAGTCAGTTTTATTATGGTCTGAGGACTTTCTTTTTTGTCTTGCGATAAGTTCTGAAAGATTTTTTAAGAAATTTGAAATATAACAAATCTTCTAAGAGATTTGCGCATTTTCTGATTTGTTATGCTTTCCGTCTTGTATAGGTACAAGAAGATGGAGGTTTGTGTAACTCCTTATCCAGCGACTAATGGTCCAGATGAAGTTGCTGGTGGTGAACTGAAACCATTTCCAGATAGACTTAATAGTGTTCCTCCCAGGATAGCCAGTGGGTCCGTCCCTGGAGTCTCTGTTGACTCATTCCACGATGACAACAAATTATGGAAGAAGCATCTGAATGCTTATAAGAGGGTCAATAAGATTATTGACACCGGGAGATATCGCAATATTATGGATATGAATGCCGGGTTAGGAAGTTTTGCTGCTGCAATTGAATCTCCCAAATTGTGGGTTATGAATGTTATGCCAACAATAGCTGAGAGAGACACTCTTGGTGTTATATATGAACGGGGCTTGATAGGCATATATCATGATTGGTATGTTTCTGAAACATATGTCTCATTTGTTTGGTTATTGGTCTGTTGTCATCTTGAGGGCTGTGTTTGCTTCCAGAATATGACTTGCTCGGATTACATTTAGAATTCTCTCTCTCTCTCTGATTTAATAGAAGTCAAATGTTTATCACTATTTTAGTTGAATTTCAAAACATATTCAACTGCAATTCGTCTTTGAAGCATTGCCAACCAAAACTCACTAATGTGTTGTTTCTGCTACTAGGATTGCTATAAAATGTCTGGCTGTTGTATACTGCACTGAATCTTTGTTACAGAGGAGCTTCATTTTCCAAAATTTCTTCATTCTGTTATTGCATTTTATTTCTGCAGATAAGAAAGAGATCGAGCAATCATCATCTTTCTATCAATACTATGAATAGTTTTGTTATGGATTGCTTGCTATTCTTTCCCCCTCCCCTCCCCACCTTTTTTGCCTTAAGCCAACCGGCCTTGTTCATCTTTTCCATAAGCCATGTCAAAGGTACAAGGAGTTTCACATCCTCACTACTAGCAGTTCAAAATTGCTTCTAGTGCTGCAATAGCCTCTGTAGGAGTTTATTACATAGCATTAATTGGAGCTTATTTTTATTTGACTCTCCAATGCTTCATTTCTATTATCAGTTAAATTTCAAGTCGAACTATTCTCTGCAATAGCCTCTGTAGGAGTTTATTCGCTTCCATTTTTTAGTAAATTTATCTTTGATAACGATTAATGAGATAAGAAAAGGAATAAAGAACTTCCAACTTTATGTGGTATACTGAAAACTTGTTTTGGTTTGCTATGGCCTTTCCATGTTTCTTTTATCCTGTGATGTTTTCTTTTGTTTTCCCCCTATTTTTATCCTCTTCAGGTGTGAAGGCTTCTCCACGTATCCGAGGACTTATGACCTTATTCACGCTAATGGTGTATTCAGCTTGTACAAGGACAAGTAAGTTTTTCTTGTAAGTTTTTCTACTCTTTATTGTACTATCCTATTGGAGGCCAAGGCTTCATTATGTGTTATTTGATTATGGACCTTCTGAGTATTTCACTTGACTCTTGCAATTCATGCTTGCTAGTTTTAATAGTCTTATTCACTCTACATTCTACAAATATCTAAAACCCTGAAAAGGTTAGGACTAGGGGTACATAATTCGATTGAACTGTCGGCCACCATGGTGATAATCTGGCACAATTAGGTACTTCATTTAACATGCAATACACCCAACAAAAGTAGACTATTTATTATCATGCTCCATTTGTTTGGGTGAAAAACATTTTCTGGCATTTGGTATGATGGAAAACGAAAGTCAACAGAAAGCGTTTTTCATGGTTAGGAAAACAAACTTACTTGGGTGGAAAATGTTTTCCACTTTTGAAAGTGGAAAGTGTTTTTGGGGCTAAAGTCTTATCAATGCTACTACGCTATAACTGCCGCCGCCACCCCACCACTGCCACCACCACCACCACAACCACAACCAAACATAGAAAACATTTTTGAAAATGTTTTCCGCTGATACAACTGGAGTGTTAGATTATATATCCTGTTGAGTGTGAATGAGCTTCAGGGGAAAGAGCTCAACAATCGATATTGGGACAATATCTCTGCACACAGGGGACATATCCTCTCAGTTTACCAATTGTACATTGATGCTTTTTTTTTTTTTTTGGCCAAGAACTTATTCTCAAGCTTCTTGCATCTATTCAAAATCTATGCAGGTGCAATGCAGAGGACATTCTTCTAGAAATGGATAGGATCCTACGACCTGAAGGTGCAGTTATATTCCGTGACCAAGTGGATGTGCTAGTCAAGGTGAAAAGACTCGTGGCGGGTATGAGGTGGAACACCAAAATGGTGGATCATGAGGATGGCCCACTTGTCCCTGAGAAGGTGTTGTTTGCAGTTAAACAGTACTGGGTTGCTGGGGACAAAAACTTCACATCATCGCAGTGAGCGCCGAATCTCGGGGGAGATTCTGGCATGATTGATCAACCAGCAATGCTCTGTTATGTGTGATTTGAGTCCAAAGGGGCACTGGAAAAATTATCAAGCAGAGGTGGCCTACTTCTCCAATTTTCTTGGTAATTTATTGATCCGTGTTCTTCTGTAGTAGTTTAGATTAAGCTAATTCATTGTCAGCTGCGATTCATTATACATTTTTTTATAAATGTTTTTCGCCATCTTTGATTTTCTTCTACTTTTCTCTTTCTTTTTACCCTTTTTGTTTCATGTTTCTGGGCTTTTGGTATGGCCCTGTTAAGTTCTGTAAACAGACCCTAAGGTTATTCTAAATGTTATTTATTATTCAATTTTCCTCCAATTTTCCATTGATTAAAGTAAGCTGCTAAAAGTATATCATCAAACAATTCTTGATTTTTACTTGGTTATATTTTTAAATATATGTCCTTTCATTTTTGTCAACACGACACATTCTATTTGTAGTGCACGCGGGTTGGGCCGGTTTATTCAAGACGTATATGTTTTGGGCCTAATTCTTGGTTTATATGTTTGGGCCACTATGTAAGCCTACGTGGGTTCTATTTGGCCCACTAATTTTTGGTTTGCTTACTTGTGTAGTGGGTTTTCAACCGCTTTTGTATTATTGTCCATATATCTTCCCATCCATCTATTATCGTTTGATGGTAGAGGGTACTTGGGATATATAAATGATATATGGACAATTTTAATTTTTTTTTTTGTTGGGTACTCCGCTGATGTGGGAGTATTTTAATTAGTTATTTTGTATTAGTTTCCCCCTTTTTGGGGAGTATTGAGAGTTGTTGTATTACCTTGGATGTGTCTTTTGTAAACGTGTAAATTTTTGTCTTTAATTTATGACTTATCCACCCAAAAATAAAACATAACACATTCTAAAAATCCGTCCCAAATGGAAATTGTGCTTTCTATTGATGTGTTGCAAAGCACAATAGGAAATGTTGTGCTTCTCGGTTTGGAGTTTGGCAGTGGTAGAGGAGTGTGGGGATGGGTTGGCAGTGGTAGGGGACTGATGAGGGTTGGTCTGGAGGTGGCGAGAGAGGCTAGGGGAGGGGTTGGCAAGGCGGTCGGAATATTACATTCTGAAAAATATGTAAATCAAACCAAATTAAATCAAGTTATCTCAATTAGATGAATTTGACTATATGCCTATTTATTTGTCATTTGATTATGTCCAACTCAATTAGTTGGAATATCAATGTACAATTTATTTATTTATTCACTTCATCCAAATAAGGAAATAAAAAAGTACATAGGAGAATTTCAAACATTTAAAAAAAAAAAAAAAAAAAAACCTAGAACCTAACAAAAGAGAAGACTACTTGACAGTAGGGGTGTAATTTGGGTGGGTTTAACCCGAACTCAGCCCGAATTTTTTTAAGATTTGAACAAGATATTTTTGAATTTAGTACGAATTTGGACAAAAATTTAAAAGCCCGAATTACATTTGGATGGGTTTGGATAAAGATGTCAAACAACCCGAGCAACCCGAAAGTATACATATATAGATATATAAAAATATTAAATAAATATATAAATTATTAGTCATTACATGATATTAAAATAATTTAGATTATTAAATCATATTAAGGCCTAGTTTGGGAAGACTAAATAAGTGCACTTTTTGACTTTTTATGAAATATGGTCAGCAATATGTAGTGTGAGATGTGCATCGAGAACATGTGTGTTTATTTGAATTGTGTGTAAATCTCCGTAATAATAATTTTATTCAGAGATAAAATTATAATAAAAATGAGTTTATTAAATATGTGTGTGTGAAAATAGAAGCTATGGATTATTGGGCAATAAAAATTTAAATTTGAATTTATGCATGAAGTCTTTTATTAATTTCTTAAACATGAAGTCTTTTATTAATAATTTCTTAAAGAAAAAAAAAAAAAAACCTGAAATTCATTTACAATTCAAGTAACTCGGGCAATTCGGGCTTAACTCGGGTCTGCCTTGGACAGACAATTTCGGATTACAATTTGGACTTGAGCAAGTCTCGGCACAATTTAGACTAGGCTTGAACAACTTCATAACCCGGCCGAACCTACCTAAGTTGCAGCCCTACTTGACAGTAGAGAACTACCAACATGCCTTGAGCACCCAGATGGGCTGAGCTCTGAATTGGCAAGGAAGAACTCTGATCATTCAAAATGGGTTCCTCTATTTGCTGCAATTTATTTATTTATTTATTATGGATAATACCCACATATCTATTACAGCAAAACACATGCGAAGTCTTTTTTTTATTTTTTCCCTCCATAATAGCCACCATCAATAATAGACACCTGCAAAGACCAGAAAACACACACACACACAAGAAGAAGAAAGAAAAAGAAGGCAAAACGTACCGATGAAGAAGAATCTGGCGTGTAGGAGTTTAGAAAGGAAAATGTCTCGTAGCTTAAATTTTGTGGCTCAAAAGTGGCTCAAATAGCCAAAACGACGTCGTTTTGGCCATTTTTATGTTGTTCTGTACTCAAAACGACGTCGTTTTGACCATTTGAGCCACAAAATTTGAACTACGTAGCATTGTCGGTTTGGAAAAGACATGGATTATTGTAGTTAGGGAAATTCCAATTTACACACCTTTAAAAAGATATTCAATATATATTCTTGATTAATGTTTGGGAGCACTAATGAGATGACTCTCTTTGATGTGATGGTTGTATTCTTTTTTTTTTTTTATTTTGTAATTTTTTAATTTTAAAACTTATTAGAGTTGTTAGTGGTCTCAATCACTTATGTATAATCTTAGCTATGTCATTTTTTTTTTAAAATTATAATATTGTTTTAATTATAACTCATGAGTTTTATAATTATATCTCATGTTATATTTAGCAATGATATATATATATTTTTAATTAGGATTCAAAAAATTAAAATTATATAATTTTTTTTATTATAAAATGCATATTGAAAGGTATGCACTATACTATTTTTCAGTTAGTTATATCTAAGGGGTATTTTGAAAAGATAGTTAAAAATTAATTTTTTTTTAAAAAAATATATAAAAAATAGGCAAGATGGCTAGAGAATAGAATAATGGCAAGGCTCTCCCAGGGATCTCCCACTTTCACTCTCAAGGTTGATAATGGAGAGGGGAAATTAGTTCTTTCCCAAGAGTTCAAAAAATCTCCCAAAATCCATCCCTTGTAAAGCTATGGGTGGGAGTGTGTGTTTTGTTGCTTGAAAATCCAATTCAAGAACTTCTCCAAACTGGGGCATATTGTGTTGGCATTGAGCCCTCTAAAAATTGTGGAGGTTACCAGCTTTGTGATTAAGACTCACTCACATATGGTACGAACCTTGGTGGTGACCCTATCATGAGAGTCATCTCGATGTTTTAGATTGTTTTTTATTTTTATTTTATATATTTTTTAAAAAATATCATATATATATATATATAAAATTAAATTGATCGAACAACTATAAATACATGATCAAATTATATTTTTTATCCAAAAAATTGATAGTAAATATGATTTTGAAAATTAACCATGAAAAATTTGACCATAAACCCCTCCTAACTTCATTTTCTTGTTAAAATGATAGAAAAAAATTTAATACTTTAAAAACCTCTTCATAATTATTAAGTTCTATGTGAAGGAGAAATTTGTTATTTGAATATTTTATTTGATCATTATATATTCTCTTTCTTCTATTTCTTTTACGACTCTTTCTCTCTCTCCATGAACTCCATAGTTGCTCATCGTCTCTGCCCTCTTCATTGCCTACCGGCGTTGTTCATCCTCACCGTCGGCCAGCAATCACCATTTTTACCGTCAAACTATTACCATTTTAGATTTGATACCTACGAACTTATATTTGAGATCAATAACTTCATATCTAAGATATAAAAAAAACAAAAAAACTTAGATTGATTGAAAAATGAGAAATCGAGATATTGAAATAAAAAATCAAGAGTTTTTTTGTTTGTTTGTTCATAGATCTAAAAGTAAAATTTGACTCTGGTTTATTCATTTGGTATGTACTCTATTTTTTGTAACAGTAAAATTTTACTCTGGTTAACAATATGTTGATCTGTTTAACGACAGTAAAATTGTACTTTAAATCATAATAAATTTTATTTTGATTAATAGTAAAATTTTACTCTAAACTAAGCTACAATAATGGTTTTACAGGAGAGTGCTATATCATGAACCAGAATAAAATTTTACTGTTCGAAGAATAGAGCATCATAAGAAGAAGAAAGAGAGACAGAGAGACAGAGTTTGAAAACAGAAGATCATGAGAAGAAGAAGAAGAAGAAGAAGAAGAAGAAGAAGAAAAAGAAGAAGAAAAAGAGAGAGAGATAGAGAGCGTAAATGGTGAGTGATGCACACATACATAGAGAGAACACAAACCATTAGAACCAGAGAGAGAGAGAGAGATCTCAAATCTAAGGTTTACGAACTGTCACTGTCATTTTTCGGCGATGATGACTGTGAATGATCTCAGATATGAGATTGTGAATGTGACGAGTGATGGTGGTGATGAAGATAGTAGAGAAAGAGTTTTATGGTGAGTGGCGGTGGCGGCGGTCGAGAGCGCCGATAGCGCCAATGGAGAGCAATAGTGATAAGAGCAAGATAGAGAGATTGAGATGAGAGAGAGTAATTGTAATATGATACACACACACACACATAAGGGTATTATAGTAAAAGAAATAACTTTTAAAATACTAAAGAGTTTTGAAAGAGAAATTCTATTTCTACACGCCTAATTAGCTTAGGGCACATCTCTTCTCAATACACATACCTATTAATTTATTTATTAATTAATTTTCTCAATTCACACAATAAAAATTACAATTATATCATTCACTCAAATATTATTGTACACACACCACTTACCCATCCTTTCCCCTTCCTTTTGATTTACCCAACTTCCAACGACAAACTAGCATGGTTTTAATGTACTCTATAGTTGTAGAAATATCTATCTGAGCCATCATCTTCCCCAAGAGTCCCTTAACCAGAAGTTCACTATCCATACACATCAGAACATTGCCCAATCCCCAAGATTCCAGCCATTGCAGTGCCAGAAAACCAGCCATAGCCTCTGCTTGCAAACTTTATAGAACTTGCACCGATTTAGTTGCAGCAGCAACTTTCCACCAGAGCTCTCCCAAGCCACCCATTTTGTACCTGCTTGTAAAGAAGTTTTCTCCCAAGATCCATTTACAATCACAAAGTAATCAAAATATGTTAAATCAACATTATTCTAGAATGAACTGTAATTCTAGAATTGTATAATTGCAGCAATGTTTGGTCATTACAAAGCAAAGGGCTATATGTAAAATCCCATAATTTCTTTTGCACTGTTTTTAAATTTGATTATTTGTTCAATAACAAGAACTGAAACAATTAGCTCCTCTTACACTTGTAAAGAAGTTTTCTCCCAAGATCCATTTACAATCACAAAGTAATCAAAATAAGTTAAATCAACATTATCTATATATTAAAATATGGATAAGCCCCCGCCAATACTTCTATCAACAGAGGCGGTGTGAAGGGATGAAGGGGTCCCCCTCAAACACAAGTTTGAATGAACTGTAATTCTAGAATTGTATAATTGCAGCAATGTTTGGTCATTACAAAGCAATGGGCTATATGTAAAATCCCATAAATTTCTTTTGCACTGTTTTTAAATTTGATTATTTGTTCAATAATAAGAACTGAAACCAACACCTCAAACTATCTTTGACAGTTACCTGGATTATTCAGTACAAAACGAGTTTCATAGTTTGTTCAATTTTACTTACTCTCTCTCTCTCATCTGTTCTTATTTTGTGCAATAGAGCAGCATAGAAGGTGTAACAAGTAAAGTGATAACAATGGAAAAATTATGATTTAATTTTTTTAACTCAAAACGTGTATATTGAGATTTTTTTTGTTCTTAAAAGATATGTACAGAGAATTTTTCTATATAATATTATAGGTGTTGCTAGATGTCTATTATAATTATTTTTATTTAGGATATAATTGTCATTAAATTAATATTTCATTAAGTGTGTGCCCTAAGCTAATTTGGTGTGTGAAAATAAAATTTCCCGTTTTGAAAGGATTCATATAATTCTTGTCTTTTTAAAAGAAAGTTAGACACTGAAGGGTCTATAACCAAATCCCCCATTAACCATTCATTATTTTGGAGATTGATTGGACAAATATAGACACATGAACAGATCATATTTGTCTTCAAAACAATGAAAGATTATTCTCAAAATCATAGTTGTCGTTAAATTTTTGAATAATAAATGTGATATGATTATGTGGTTATAGTTGACAAATCAATCTTCCTTTTTTAAAAAAATATTTTTATTTTATTTTATTAATAATCTATTCAAAAATCTTACAAAATAAATCATTCGAATGATAAGCATACCCATCTCCATGGTGGCCTCACAAACGATTATAGTAGTAGTACCGATTGTTTTATGAATTTTAGAGTAGAGACTTAACTTAGCCTTAATTGTCTTATTACCCAAAAGTCAAAAATGAAAAAGAAAAAAAAAGAAAGAAAAGAAAGAAACATATAGTGAAAAAAAGATTTTCATGTTATAAGATAGGTAGGCAATTGAGGTGACAAACTGTTAATAAACCTCAAGCATGTGGAGCATCCACTAGCTTACAATTTGGTAACCCTGTCACAAAGTCTACTTATAGGACTTATTCTCTCAAGATCCAATAGTGGAGACAAACCCTCTCAAATCAATTCTTTGTTCTCTCCTTCTTCCTTAATCAAGCATGTTTCATCTTTAAGATCTCCCATAACCCCTTGTCATTCCCTAGTCTCCATACCAGTTTTGTGATTTCACATGTTTGGTTTGTGATTTTCCCAACCTTCTTCTCATCAAATTTCTTTTCTTTGCTCCCCCTTTTTTGTGTTATATTAATTCATCTTTTCTTTGCTTCCTTCCAACTTGAATCAATTTATATATACAATTATCTATCATATACTCCATGGATAGCCAAGATAACACCGATAATCTCCGCGTCGCCTCATTTTCAGCTTACCTAAACTCCACAGATGAGGGCTTGATGCTTAAGCTCACTAGGGCAATTCAAGATGCTGCTCCTGAAATCATTTCGCCCGAAGTGACTCCACGCCCTTTAAGTTTACGAAGAAGCAAGATTAATCAAGAAGAGGGTGAAATTGGTGTCTTTGGTGCTGACAAGTACTTCAACATGAAAATGAATTGTGATGACAATCCAAAACTAATTGACAACAGGGTTGAAGTTGAGTTGTGCCACAGGAAACCAAAGTTGAGCAGTGGAGGAACTCCAAGTGTTAGCTCTGAAGCAAGCTTGAACAGCCAAAATGCATTGTTACCAACTCTCCTCAAAAACCCATCAAGAATTAAGCAGAAGAAAGCTACTGCAAAGAGATTTTTAGCTGGTTTTGGCTGTAACGGGCCGTGCCTGGACAAGATGTCGGTTCATATCGACGAGGGTGTTGTTCAAAAGAAAGAGATAAGAGAAGAGTCCTTTCGGTTCGTGAATCCAGTCCAATCTCAATTAGGACTAAGAGGAGAAGATCTTTTTGTGTTTCCATTCCTCAAATCCGGGAAGGAAAATTTGACAGTTAAAAAGCAGTTGGAAGAAGAGAAAGTAGACAAAGAAGAATCACGATACTCAATCGAGGTTTTCGGGTCCCATATGATCAAAAAGGGTGATAATATTTCAATTAATCTAGAGAGGAAACTGTCAATGTTAACTTGGGATGCCATTCCAAAGTCCCAAGACCTTCCATCAACCTTGCCAATTAGTAGTACCCCCGGGCCATGCGATGACATTCAAAGTGATGCGAGTTCAGATCTATTTGAGATAGACACTCTCTCCGGCACTGGACACTCATTGTTGACAATGCAAGCTACTGAGAACGTGTCACAGTATGAGCCAAGCGAGGCAAGCATCGAGTGGAGTGTTGTCACCGCCAGTGCTGCAGATTTCTCGACTGTTTCGGAATATGATGAGAAGAGTATTGCAGGTGATCACTTGACATCAACAAATGCAACCAACAGAAATAAAACAGCCAAAACCAAGAACATCGTGTGCAAGGAGGGGCAGAAGGGTCGATCCGGGGGGTTTTTGGGGTGCAAGACTCAGAAAGCAGTGAGTGTTGCTGAAGCTGCACATAGGGCTAATGAGAAAGCAAAATCCATGAAATCCCAAGGCGATGTTTGGAGGAAAGATTTTGAATTCGGACCAGTGCAACGTTCTTTTGCCTCCAAAGTAGTCTCACCATAGCACTGTGTGAGACATGGATGATTCTGTCCAAGCAACATGGCAGGTGCAATGGAGGGAAATGTTTTCAGAAACATCATAATTTTTTACTTTTATTTTTTTTGCACTTTCTTTGTCTTTTTTTGTGTGTGTTTGTTTGTTTTTTTTTGTTTTTATCAGTAATTATGTACTTATATTTTTCAGATATATATGAGAGGCAGATTTGAGATTTCACTAGCTACTTTGTCCCTGCTTTGTGCGGAACTATACCTCTTTAGCTTCTCTTTTGTCATGATAGAGCAAAGCTTTATTTCCACATCCTTTGTCATTCAAAGCCTCAACAGCAATCACACAAACATTGAAAAGGATCTGGAATTCTCTAGGCAATGGGGCTCCATGAAGGGTTTTTAAATATCAGCCACAGTTTTAAATAAAGATATATATCAGTATTGATTATACAGTCATACATTGAACAATATCTATAAATATATTGGTAAATAATAGTATCAAAAGTCTAAAAGTCTACGTATGTAGATCTGTAATCTGTTGTATTTAAAACCTCGATATCAGTCAAAGTAATGTATCAATAGATACACATAGGGATTTTGGTCTTTTGATACCATTATTTACTGATATATTAGCTAATGGTCTCAATACTATCCAATATTAACCGATATATAACTGTATTGTCAATACCATTATTTAAAATCATTCTTATTAACAAGCGACATTTGCTTTTCCATTGTTGGTTTAGATTTTAATTTTATTCTTTAGACTCAAGTGGTGGGTCATGCTTGTTTTGGACCATCTGTTTGGCAAGCTGCTTTAGGCTATCCCACTTTGCCCTTAAAGAGTCTACAAACCTATATTTTGTGTTGGCAATGGCATATGCATCCATGTTTAAACCTGTAGGCCCTACAAGTGGAGATGCATGCTTCACAAAGTGATACACTACCCAAATCCTTTGACTATTCACGCCAATTTTCCATTTAGGAGAATTAAAAGGATTATAAACATAGTTTTAAATAACATAATTGAGATGTGTATCAATTTGGGTGATATAGGCCGATATCGGACAATATCCATTGATATATCAGTAGATAACAATATCATAAGTCAAAAATTTCAACACATATTGACAAATACAATATCAACTGACATTTAAAATCTTGATTTTAACAATTTTTGCTTATCAAAAGTTATGCAAAATTGCAATATGCTACCTACATGCATGGGTAGTGTAATAAAAGATTTTCTTGAAATGAACAGTAAACCAAAACATCTTCAACTCCTCTCAATATTATGCCTGATCTTAATTGATACATGTGGTTTGTGACCAGCACTATGCAAAGTTTAAAAGAAATGCATTTATTCAACAACTTAATAACCAATAGTTTTAAATATGAAAAAATGATGATTTTTGTCTGTCACCAAAAAAATTGTTCCGGAGTTATGTTTGAAGAATGAAATCTTTCATTTGGATAAAAATGCCTCTTACACCCTGTAACTGACGCATCTAATAATTCTTGAACAAATTTTCTTTCAGCAAACTATCCAAATGTTAAATAGTTTCCCTCATTTATAAAACCGTGTCTCTATCATTAAATCATCGAAAAATTTAATTATAAAATTACAAAACATCACATATATACCCACCATTAATATATATATATATATATATCTATTTATATAGGCCGCAAGATTTTATTTATGATATTGAATTTGATAATTGAAGAATATTATTATTATTATCTTTGTGAGATGACAATACACAAAATGGTCACGCCTATAATGTACTTGATGAGCAAGTTGGGGATGGGTTAACAAACATTCAATTTTCCAGAACTGTCTAACAACTAATGTGGATCCCATTTATGTGGTTTCTTCTCTTTCATGAAACAGTAATATGGGTTGAAAATCTAGTAAGCACTAAACAAAAGCTAGGATTGAGCATGTTTTATCAAACAGTAACTAAATTGTTGTCTTATAACTACTTTCGGCACAAGCTCTGCTGCTGAAAGCCAATCCATTACCCTTTTTTTTTTTTTTTAAACACTCGGGATGTTCAACCCTTTTTTTTTTTTTAACACTCGGGATGTTCAAACCAACTTGCGTACACATTAACTAATCTTTGGGAGATCAATTCCATAATCCACTAGCAGGGGCTCAATTAAAACCAGAGCCGAGTTCCGTATGAACTGACCGAACACATGGATTGATAACACTTTAGAGGTTTCGAACCTGACACTTGGATAGGAGGAAACCCCTAAATTCCAAGCTTACACCATTAGGCCAACCCTTGGGGGTTAAGCCAATCCATTACATGGTAGTGATATAAGGCCCTACTTGTTTTCCGCACACTAGCAGTCAACTCCGAACTATTAGTGATGAACAGTAAAATTAGCTTATGTTTGTTTTGGTTTTTGAACTTCGGTTTCGTAGTCCCTTCGGCTTAGAATAGGCCTTGAGCAATGAATTAGCAGTCCGAGTTAGAAGATGGTATTAGCAAAGTAGTCTGTTCGGATTGGGTGTTACCGGACATCTGCTCAGAAGTCTGGTCGGTCAACGGGTCAACAACAAATTTTTTTATTTTTTTTAACTTGTTGGCCATTTTTTTTTAAACATTAATGTTTAATGTTTTTGTATTTTTTGTTAAGTAAAAATCATAGTTTTATTTGTTTTATTATTTTATATTTATTTTATATAAAAATAATTTAACAATCCTCACACTGACAACTATCATCAAAACAAACACAATTTTACTAATCTCCTCACTATCAATCCCGTCCATTCTACCTCTGAAAACAAACGGGGCCGAAAGGTTAAAAAAGGTATTTTGTCTCGCAATCACTTTCTCTCTGTCTCAAAACATTCACATATGTTAGATTTGGCAAAAATTTCAAAGTGTGAGAATTTTGAGACATAATCTAACGATTATAGCGTGTTTGGTGTAGTTTTCTACTTCTGCAAGTTGAAACTAAAAGTATCATTCCCTCAGCTTTTTAATAATTATTTTTTTTAACTTATTTAAACTATTTTTGTTTAATAAGTTATATAAAAAAATTATACCAAATATTTTGACACATACTCTCAAAATAATTTTTTAAAAAAATAATAATTATGAACAGTCCTTATATTTGGACTGTTCATAATTATTATTTTTAATAATAAGGACTGTTCATAATTATGAACAGTCCTTATAAATTGCATCAAACATGGTGTCAACAGTGGACAAAGGAAATCTAAGAAGGCGCGAGACAGGGAGAAAACCTGCGACTTCGAGGAAGAAGACGCGACGAGGGCGTCGCGAGCATAGGTGGGGGAGAATGTCACGCCCCGCCGCATTACCAAGGCAGAATAACCTACAAAAAGGAAGTCTCAAGAAAAGGAGACTAGTGAAATGGCTTGGAAGCTCCTAGAAGACTTGAGAAAGTATGAAGACCATAAAGGATACTAGAGGGTTCTGGAACTCTCTAGAATGGTTACAAGAAGAGAGGCTACAGGAGAACTGCCTAAAAGACTCTAGAACAATATAGAGCATTGTAGACATTAAGGTTGTATATAACTCTAGAATAGGTCCTTTGAGAAGATAAGGGAAGGATCTAGAATCCTTCTCATACTTGTACTTCTAGAATAGTTCTAGAATAATCTATTAGAGGTAGTAGGAGGAAGTGTCTAGAACACTCTCCACCTTAGTAGTTCTAGAATATTCTATGTAGGCCTATAAAAGGGGAGGCCCTCATTTGGCCAAACCAACCAAGAAGAAGTAGATCCAAGAGTTGTAAGCTTTCTCTCAAGTGCAATACAAAGCTAACATTCTCCAAGTGTTCTCTCTAAGTCTCTCTTGTGTGTGCAATCTCCTAGCTCCCTTCCACTAAAGGCTTACTTAGGTGCAAGCAAGGCGTGCTACAAGCATCTAAGGCCACACGGTTGGCTTGGAAAGACCAAGGGTTGGTTCAGAAAATCCAAGGCCGTGACACTAGGAAGAAGCTCGGCTGTTTAATCGTCTAAACAACACAAGGATGCTGCAATGTGTTTTGCTAGGCCATCGCTCAGTGCAGCAAAGTGGTAGCTTTGATTTCACCTCCGACATAAGTATTTTTGGACAGAGAGATAGTGAGATTTGGGAATACAATAAGGGATTTTTTGTGCGTGATATATTAAAAAAAATAAAAATAAATAAATAAATAAAAATAAAAATAAAAATTGTATACGAAATGATATAACGATAAGTTGTGAGCCTATCATTTTAAAAAAATCAAGATACTTTCTATAAACAAAAATGCTACCATCAAGTCATTCTAATGAATAATTATATAAAAATAAATAAATGATTGTGGAGGATTAGTTTTTTCCTTCATTTCCCCCCCTTGAAATGCTTGGCCTGGAGTGAAGCACTAGTCAATTCTTTACTTCACTAAATATACATGATACTATTCCAAATTGCATTATTGGGTACTTTTACAAAATGATTGATCATGACCACTCATGATCGGTCACCTCAAACAAAGTGGGACTCAAGATCTCACTTACTTGAAATCCACCTCCTTGAAACGGTGAAAATGCAAAATCTCGAGTCCTACTTATTTGAAGTAACTTATGAGTAGTGACCCAAACTTACATATGACATGATCGTCCAAACCACTTAATAATTTTTCCACTTCAACACATGCTTTAAAAATTTCTAATAATAGGTAAAATTTTCAAATTTACCACTCATTTTTCGTAACATGATTTTATTTATTGCAAATTTTAACAAGTTAATATTCTAAAATCAGTTAAAAGCAGTCCCAATTTTTCAACAATCAACTTATATAAATATACTTTTTATTTATAAATAGTAAATAAAAATTACACCAAACATGACAGAAAAATCATAAACACCCTACAAACTAAAATAAACAAGCCAATGGTTTGAAACAAGTTACTTGTAAGCTACTTTACAATACAATTTTCACTGTCATATGGAGGTTGGGATTCCACATCAGACTATGAGCCAAAACCTACCAAGAGCCATGTGGACTAGCTTAATAATGTAATTATCAATCTACTATAGTAATTGGAATGCTTAAGAAAGAAGTGAAAATTTCATGAACAAAGTGTGGATTTGAGAGACCCTTGTGTTGTCAGTTTCAGTTAACAAGAAGAGGGGACAATATAATTGTTAAGAATAATGTTTGAGGGCCACAATTTTTGTGGCTCAAATGGCTTAAAACTGCCAAAACGACGTCGTTTTG